GGTAAAAGAGCAAAAACAGATGCTATATGTTTGATATTATTAAAAAAATTAGCGATTTTTTTTCTCCCTGGAGCAAATTACAAAAAAAAAAAAAAAAAAAAAAAAAAAAAAACAAAAACTTATTTACAAAAAACCAATATTACATGGTTGGTTTGATTGTTAATACATTGTATGTCTCCCAGACGATGCAATACAGTCCGTACAACGCCTAGGCATCTGAGTATCAAATTATCGATCTGATCTTGGGGGATATATTACATCACTCAAAAAGCAATGCACTCCGAAGTTCCGGTAGGGTAGACATGTAGAAGGAGGTTGACGGGCTGCAACTCGTCGGCCAAGCATGTCCCACACGTGTTCTACTGGTTCAAGTCTGGTGAGAATGCTGGCCAGTCTGTACGGGTGATATCCTCCGATTGAAGGCATTCGCTTACGATATTTGCACGGTGCGGTGAGGACTGGCGTTGTCATCCATAAACAAATTGTGTGCCCATGGCACCCCGAAACAAATGTACATGTTGTTCCAGAATGACGTCCCGATAGATATGGCTTGTCATGATTCCAATTTGAACATGAAGGTCAGTTCTGGAACCCAGAATAATTCCACCCCAAACGAGCACTCCTACACCACCGTAACGGTGTCGTTCAATGATGCTTTCTTGGTGGTAACGAATACCTGGAGCTCTCCATATGAAAGTCCGGCGAGAATCAGACTGCAAGCTAAACCTGGACTCGTCGGAAAACATCACACAAGCCCACTGTTGCGGTGTCCACAGTGCATGCTCTCTACTCCAGGCTAACCGCAGGCGACAGTTGAGTTGCAGTAAGTGGAACGCATCTGACAGGTCTACGAACATATAAACCAATCTGCCCTAAGCGTCTGTACACGGTCTGCCTTGAAATTGTCGTACCAGTGGCTGAAGAGAGCTGACGAGGCAGGTCTCAGGCTGTGCTCCACCTGTTTGTTTTGGCAGTAACTGCCAAATACCGGTCCTTATTCGGCGCTGTAACTCTGGGGCGACCTGTGCTGTAACGTCTACTCACATTACCATCATCTTGGAATCGTTGCCAAAGCCTGGAGATGACACTCTGGGCAATTCCAAGTTGTCTGATACTTCCAGTTGGGTACGCCCACATTCCAGACGGCCGATAATTCTACCACGTAAAAAATCATCCAAATGCGTCCTTTGTGTCATAACTATTCGGTTATTGCACTGAAATGCTTATAAAGCGCCTGCGAACAATTTTACTTCTTTGCCTGTATTCCTTATATATCACTTCTCTTACATTCTCGTCATTGTGAACGTACCATCGGTGTCATCTGGTTACTTCTTGAAATTTGCATATATTTTGAAGATGTGTGTAGTGATTTTACAGGTGATATATTTATTTTAGAGTTCAATTTCCGCGTGACTCCGAATTATCCTTAATTTATGGACATGAGTGTAAAACTTTTAAAATGAAATGCAGCAAAAATGAGTATAATTTAATAACTGTACGAAGAAGTCATATGGTGTCTACACTATATTTCTTTATTTTCAGTTTTATAGGATTTCGAAAATAAATTTCATAAAAAATTATTCCATTTGATCCCTGAACGTCGAAAGGTAGCGAAGTTTTTTCCAAGGAGTTAGGAATTAAATTAATTACAATGTGATGTTTCGAGATCTGTTTTCTGCTTGTACCATAATGCAATAATATATACTCATAAAATTTTCCATGTACAGAAACAAAAATGAGTAACACTTTGAAAGAGTAATAAATACTTTAACTCTTTTTAACAGATGAATATTCCGAAATATATTATGCACATTTACATCCTGAAGTGTTCTTGATTGTTCTTCTACCTTTAGTTAAAAAGGAATGTGTTAATGAAACTTATTATTCATGAGAAATAATAGTTTCTTGTGATTGATGAACAAGACTATAAGCACTGAATAAAAATTATTTAGGAAACTATGCATTATAATATCTCTGAAAGCAAAACGACATTGATTGTTTAGTATCGATATTTATCACACATTACGTACTTCACTTTCAGTAAAAATAAATTTCTCCTCTAATAAACAAAATTAAATTCTAAATTCTAAATGAATATAATATTTTTCTCTCTCTATTTTTTTGAGCTTTTAACTTCTTTTTATAATCCAACAAAATAATACATTAATTTTATTAGACTAATAAAATGATGTACGTTGTAAAATGAAAGGGAGGAATAAATATAATTTTATTGAATATCTTAAGATAATATTTTACGAAATTTTATACTATAATTCCTCATAAAGTATTTGGAATGAAAGAAATAGTGATTTATTTCATATTAAACAAAATCGTTGTTTACGATAAACATAAAAATGGTCTTTTCAGTTTAATAATTAGATACATTCCGATGATCTCATTGATCACGTGACTTATGTATACCTTTTATAAACATACAATGCAGATGACCTCAGAGATCACGTGACTTATGTACAGCTAATGCAAACAAGCAAGGTCATTCTTCCTCTTCTTCTCTTGCGGAATGTATCTCATTTAAAAAAAAGCCTGCATGTACATGTATACTAATAATTTGAAAGTAAAATTATATTTGATCATTATGATTGACTTACACTAAACACAGGATAACCTATAGAATTTTAAAAAATAAATAATTTGGAAGCATGTAAAATATTTCACATGATATAAAACTCGTATCTGAGGCTATGGCTCAATTTTAAAATTCAACCTTATCATTAAAAATGAGTTTAACTTACTTTGAGGAAGGTGGTTGAATTTAAAAAGTTAAAACTGTGAAAGCGGCAAAGCTATTTCAGTACTTGTTTGTTATCAATTTATAACCAATTTCTAACTAACCAGATGCAGGTTAATTTACTGTACTAATTATCATAATCAATTAACAGGAGTTACAATTCCGGTTTTTCAGATGACTTACTCTGCTTCTCAAGCTAGGACAACTTAAGCTTAATGTTAATTTATTTACGTGAGATTTTAAAATAATTTCATTGATTTAAAAATATTAAAAATAATACAGTACAGTACACATTAAGAAAGTAGCAAAATAATTTAAATGAATACACTTCAATGCAAGTAAATGATGGATGTTGAAATTCATGAGAGTAACAAAGAGGAGAAGAAGAGAAATTTAATGTTTTCAGCTGTGTACAAGGTAAATTCGTATTGAAATATATATTTGGATACAAACATGCTTTCCTATATTCTGAAACTTTATAGAACAGAAACTTAAAATGCTATCTGAGGATTCCAATTAAAGAAGCAGAATCTGATATGTTTTCTGACAACCTTCTTCACTATTAAAATCTGTGCTCTTTTGTCTGTTTGTTTGTTTATTTGTTTGTGGAATGATCTCCCTCGGAACGGCGAAGAGTTGAGTTTCCAGAGACGTACTACCGAGTTCAAAAAATTCTTGGGAAACCATTTCGACCATTTTCATCTTCCTGCATCTTTAATCGGCCGAGATATTAATTAAAAATTCGGAAAACACTAATTTTCCCGAGTGACAACAGTCTCGCTCGTCGGAGATAAAAATGCCTTATTTCGAAACTGTTGCTGCTGCTCGCTTTTAAATCGTACAGTTTGTTAATCAAAAATTTCTAAGTTTTACAAAATATGAAATAAAAATAGCATTGCCGAACATTAGACATATCTTTAATTATATGCGGCTTAAGTGTCTGTTTGTCACCGATAGTTTATTGGTTGCGTGCGTACTTTATTATATGATGCTTAAGTGTCTGTTTGTCGCCTATAGTTTATTGGTTGCTTACGTAACTGTACTAGTCAATGGGGTGAAGTTGCCACGGCATTCAAATAGTCCATATACACTGATACCATATATGCAGTTATCATTGTTTTAATTAAATTATCATGGTATTTAAGAACATTTAAATATTTTTAATTCATACGATTGTTGCTTATTATGCATTTAACTATATTTATATATGAATTACCTAGAAACTTGCAAACGTTGAGAAATTAAAGGAGACGACACCAAGTAACGAGTTGTGTGTAGTACATCTCATCAGGTAGGTTTACCCAAACTCCTATGCTAAATATCCTTTCGCGTAAAGAATTTAAAATTTTGCCCGATTTTATTCCGACATTCAGCTGAAAATTCAGGGAACGCGAACATTTGTTTGCATTAGCAATCATCTATTTTTGAAATGGTTTACAAGTGAACGCGAATTGAGTGTGTCAGGGGGAACGTGAACATTTGCTTGCATTAGCAATCATCTATTTTTGAAATGGTTTACAAGTGAACGCGAATTGAGTGTGTCAGGGGGAACGTGAACATTTGCTTGCATTAGCAATCATCTATTTTTGAAATGGTTTACAAGTGAACGCGAATTGAGTGTGTCTCAGGGGGAACGTGAACATTTGTTTGCATTAGCAATCAATTTATAATCATCAATTTATAATATTAAACAAAGGTCAATTTATAACAATGGTCATTTCGTATGACCGTCGGGCTGTTATTATATAAGATCACATCCTGACGTTGAAGAGAGAAGAAAGCATGCGATTGCATGTGGCGTCATTGTATGTAGAAAATGTTTCCTTAATATCAGCATTTTAAATAAATATCTGCTGTTAGAAACAATTTTGTTTCAGGTTAGAATAACTGACACGATATGTTATTGAGACGTTAATTCCTTTATTGATATTGAGAAAAAGTTGTTATATTACATGAAATTTAAATAATGATGTTATATGTATTAACCTGGAGTGTCAAAAGTTTTAGTTTCCTGGTTAGGAAATAAAAAAAAATTAATTACGAATTGGTTGTTGCTTGGAAAGAATAAACTGATTTCATTCATACTGAAGTGTTTTTATACATTTGTCAAATTTGGTCTTCCAGATGATCATATTCGCAGTAGGATTACGTCATTCAAAATTGGATGGCTCTAGGTACTGCTGTTTTATCACAATGCGAGAGACATACATAAATTAATGCAGATTCTTACTTATTTGATTTCTTCAAATATAACGTAGGACTTTAACATTTGATGGCAATAATTTGAAAAGTGATAGGCCGTTTATAGTGATTCGAAGCAAAATCGCAAATGAAAACTATAGTCCTTCAGGGACAAACAGCACAAGACACACTTTTTTGGACAGTACAAGACACACTTTTTTTCACAGCACAAGACACACTTTTTTGGACAAAAAAAACTTAGTCTCCTTTTTGTTACTCTCATGAGTTTCAACGATCCATCACTCAAGTTTTTTTCAGTTTGTTTACTTTAATATCTATAAAGAGAGGTACATATTACTTTTATAAGTCTCTTTTAACTTTTGAAGAATTAAAAACTTACATATGAAAGCTACATAAATTTTAACAATTTTTTGTATATGGGAGGAATTATAGCATAAAATGGGATATATATTATGGGAGGAATTACAGCATTAAATGAAGAGAAACTGATGGAAAGAATAACAGCATAAACAGTTTCACAAAAGAATAGTTTCCGAAATCTATTATACTGTACTCTGCTGCGATTAGTCTATTATGATTATATAGCAGTCACTTTTCCTTTTTCTTTTATACATAAAATATGTACCAAAGGATTTTACAGCTTTTAATAGACATCTCTCCTCAGCATCTCTCCTAAGTATACCTGTTTCTTGCTGCTAATATTCACTTGTGAAGACTTCTGCATGGCATTGTAGCCATGAAGTTCATGGCATTCATATGGCATCTTCACTTGTGAAGACTTCTTTATGGCAATGTAGTAGTATCATAAACAGAAATTGCATTATTTATTATTTTTCATACATTTCAAAAATAACGTTTCTTCCACTCTTAAGATTTAAAATCTTCCATATTTCAATGTTTCAATTTCAGGATACAATAATAGATTATGACAGTTAATGTGTAATAAAAGGACATAAAACACATGAAATAATGAGCAATCTTTAGCATTTCATAAAAGAATGACACTTCACAGTTAACCTTCTTGTGAATTAATATAAGTATTGAAACATGAGGTTAGCAAAGAAATAAATACATTCTTTGCCAATTCCCTATTTATAACTCTTAAATTACCAGGTACAGTTAAGCACGCTTGTAAAAGATGTGTGTTATTAAAACTATATTAAGAGAAAGCAGCTATGAATTTATTTCAATCAAACACATGATTGCTTAGCTCACATTCTTTACATTTTTTTTAAAGTGCAATCATATCATATAATTTCCTCTCAGCTTTATAGCATATGCTGGGTCCTTTCCCTTGCTACCATCGTTGCGTTTTTTGTTTTCATCTTAAATTTAATTCCCTTTTGCAGTATTACTAAATATTTTAGACTTACAAAACTTCGTTTAAAAATCATTTCCCGAAGTTGATTTGCCATTTAAAAATATTTATTTTCTACGATTATATTAATAATATCATCAGTAATATTTAAGAAATATCATTTATTTTCACTGTTTTGTCAAAATAACCTTAATGCAGTTAAATATTTATTATGTCAAAATAATTTTAAAAGAATAAAAAAAAATAAGACATCAAATATATTGCAGTAAAGAAATTGGGCATGTTTATGATAAAATTATAATACTGCAGGTTATTCTGAATTATTTAAAAAGTTATAACACTGTCAGATTCATATTTTCTTTTATTAAGATGTAAATTTTAATTTCTGCCGTTTATTTACATTTCAAGATTTGTGCAATAGATGGCAGCACCGATCTGCATATAAATTTCAGAGAATGGAATTTTGCTGAGTATATTTTACATCAGGAGTTTTCAACCATGGAAGAATTCCCCCTGGGGAATGAATTTTACTGTTTCAGGGGTGGGAAAGAACGCAGTCAGCCTTTTATTTACCTGTTAACTATTTAATTTATAGATATAAAAAACTATTTTGATTCAAGTTTTGGTAATTATCAACACTTTTTATACTTTTCCTTGTTTAATTCGGGACATACATTAAAAAGTAATCTAAAGTGAAATAAATGTATTTTTTGAGTTTTCAAAATGAGGGAAAGAGAAATGAACGTTTAGCAATGGTAAAAGGGGTGCATAGAGTAAAAATGGCTGAGAACCACTGATTTGTACGTATATACACAAACATTACATAGCTAATTTTATAGAGGGAAAAAAATTATAACAGATCTATTTTCATAGCAAATTTTTATTCTAGTTTTTCAGCGCATCTAATCTGATGATTACCAAAATTTCTAGAATTATGATATAAAATTTGGTATCTCAAATACGTTTACTTCAATTATGAGGCATAGCAAATTAAAGGAGTATAAAAGCTTTTACAAAAATAATGCAATATTATTTTAGATATTTCTTATCTAAGAAACTATCTGCATTTACGATAATGTAATTTAAGAAGTTTATAAACTATCTGCTATTTATCATTTGTAATGTTTACCAACCTTCTAGAAATATTCACGCATTTTTCGATGTATCGAATTCTACGAATTTCGTGATAGATTTTCCTCTTGTTATAGGTAATTTAACTTCATAATTTTAGCCTATTTATTAATATAACTCTACAAACTTTTATCTTTACAGCTATTTATAAGTTTCTTGACCGATTAATTCTATTCTTCTATTCTTCCGTACAATCTCTATAATAGTAACAGCTTCCAAAGAAAATTCAAATCATTATTTACACATTCTTTCAGCAATTCGAAAAAAGTATTCACAGCACAAGACAACACTAATCGAAACACAAAACATATAACAAAAACCATTTACAACTGTTAATTAATAAGTTAACCTACTAGAAAAGCACCTATTTTTGAGCTTTCAAAGGTTTCTAATCTAAAACTCGCAAGAAAAATAAGTCTTATTTCCAAATATTTGGAAAATGCAAACCTAGCTTATACATTCTCAAAAAATGGATGTAAAATAACAATAGGATTAAGAGTATATTTCGTGGACATTATTCTTCATATTTAGTTAAGCAATTGCAATTTTAAATAAATAATCATTTGCGTTGCAGTATAATATCATAAAATAAAATAAATTACAAATGCATATTATTTTAAAAAGTGTGAAAATGTCAATATATTAAAAATAGTATTTTTACTTTACAAATATTACATAAAATTCTCAGAAGCGAATTCCATTATTTTTGGGCCAATGTTATTCACTTTATAGTAAAATTTAATTTAAAGTATGCCAGACGTTTAAAAAATTTATCCAAAAGCACCAAGCAATAGTGTTCTAAATGGAAATAATTTCTGCATATAGAACACGATTGTTTGATAAATGCTGATAAAGCCATAACATGCTAGTTTAATATTCTCACTTGTTAATAAGAACCAAAATAACAACGTTTATTCCATTAAAATAATTAACACTCCATTTCAATCTTTTAGTGAAGTCTGACATTCAGCACTAATATAGAAATCTTGCGGAGGGGCTGGGGGACATCTTCATATGAGGAAACGAAGAAATCAAATAAACCATGATATGTTAAAAAATATTAAAAATTAGGCAAAAAGGCAACCTTAAATTGACGTAGATGTTGAATAAAATTCTATTAATATTGAACGGAATCTGGCTTAATACTTCTTACTCAGACATAAAAAAAATTTCAAATGACTATAAACACTTTTTTTTCAATTTTTGTCGTTCCTGAAAAAGATAGACCCACGTCAGATAGCCCTCGAAATCATTAGAAGTTTATTCATAATCTACGTCAGTCTCAAGCTGCTTTTTTGAATAATTTTAATTTTTATATCGGCGTATTTCACTTTCAATTTACATGCTGAAATATGCACAATAAGTTTATTTCTACTTTAAATCTTAATTAGGTTTCAGCATTTTGAAATTAAGTTTAGCTTAACGCCACCTGAAATAATTTTAAGAAGTGATTTAATGGGACTTTTGAAGTTATTCATTTACGAAACGTCTGAAAAAAAATAAATATTTACCAAATTTATTTCGCATAGCCTTAGCCTAATGTAAAAGTTTACAGCTAAATAAAAACGAAAATAAGTTTAAATACTTTAACATAAATTTCATTTTTAAGTTCTAAAACACATCTAATTCTGTGATATGTTGTCATTTAGAATCTGCTATTACTGCCTTCAAAAATATTGAGATTAAATTATATAAAAAAATCAATTTCAAGGTCTCGGACATAAACAGCGAAACGATTTGGCTTTAAAGTTTGTAATGCTTTGCACAGCGTGATAATAGAAGTACGTCAGCTGTAGCAAAATACTTCATTACTGCATAATTAGAAACTTAAAAAACTAAACAGTTGAATTAAAGCCATATAAAAATCATCTAGTGAAAGACAGATTCTGAAAATTTAAAAGTATTTCAATGAATAGCATTATTATTTTAAAATGAGCATTATTGTGCGGGTTAGGTATACACTTATCTCGGAAGTAAAGCAGCCTGCGAAGAATACTTAACGATTAGCAGCAGGAAAAAATAAATATTGTATGAAACCTTTGAAAGCTGTGGTGTAATATTACTTATGGATATTTAAAGAGCCATCTTACACATAGAGAATCTACCCTCTGATTCGGAGGAGAGATTCAGTACTTTGGTGGGAATGTAAAATGTCAAATAAAAGAAAGCTCTTTGCTGTTACTGTCCAAGACCGGACGCACAGACATTGGTTCTTCGTTTTACAAGTAGTCTGCCTTTGGTCCAAGGATTCTGTACTTTGAGAGGTTGGAAGGAATCACTGAGATATCGCTCCGTACTGTCGAAGGACACTACAAGGCAAATATCACCCATGTTTTGATCGCTTATGTATGCTTCACTTTTCTGCTGCCCTTCCATCACAGCTTCGTTTACTTGGCAAATCACTGAATCAACAATCTCTCGCGCGCTTGCATCTGGGTTAATATGAAGTCGGACACTCGTGTCCGGAGGTAATTCGTCCGAATAATCCACGGCTACTTTAAGTACATCGGCGGAACAATCAATATCTGTTTCTTGGCAAGGTAGTTCAGAATCCAGAATAGCCCTAATGAAAGCATAATCATCCTCGCTTTCACTGTGTAGCACTCTAAATTCTTCGTTTTCACTGTGTAGCACTCTAAATTGCAATCCGCAGTCGGTAAGGCTATCTTCATCTTCACTCGGGTGATCTCTACTGTCATCGTGGGGCAATTGTAGAAGTTCATCCATTTGTTGCTCCTTGTAATCACTGATGTCATCATCAAACTCTTCCATTTCTGGTACAGCCTCGTTGGAAGATAATGAATGATTGCTTCCATGATCAGGCATTACGTTGATGACAATCCCTTCTTGGGATAATGTATCTTCGTCTACCTGACCCTTCTCAGAGCTTTCTTCGTCCTCGTTGACTGGAGTTGCAGCCGCGGATGTGGTGTCATACCTACCACTTGCACAACTATCTACCTTGTATGTTACACTCAATGTTTCGGTGCTGTAAGCTTTAGATCGATCGTCCAAGAGCATTAAAGTAGATGGTTGAGGTTGTCTAGCATAATCCTCTGTTAAAATATCATCACTGGTTCCAGCTACTAAGAGCAGACCAGAAGTTGATGCACAACGTCTCATCTCTGAATTGTTCAACGCAGGTTCCGTTGAACTATTATTTGCATCTGTTAAGGAGAAACTTGAAGTTGAACCTGTAATCCTAATAGACACTGCAGGAGGCATGCCATGGAAAGATTTTAGACCAGGCAGTTCGGTAGGTACTTGAAGCGTATGAAGTGGTTGCACATGATGAGGTGACTGAGAAGGGCTGGCAGAAGGAGAATCGGCTATATCGATAAGAATATTACTTAACAAAATGCCACCTGGTGGCTGTTTTTCTCGCGCAAAATTTAAGACGTCCATAAGCCAACGCACTGATCGCCAGGTATTGTCCACTTGAGATTGGAATTGTTGAAGTTGCCTGAGTCTTGATTTAGCAGAGGCGAGTTCTGTGGTAGAAAATGCCTGTAATACATTAAAAATGCACATTATAATGTCGTTCTTGAAAACAAAATGTACCTGTATTATGTATTATATCAATTATACTTTTAAAAATGTTTCATTTGAAGTTATACAATATATGATATAAACATTTCTTCAGCTGACATATGTTTTAAAGCATGTTTTAACAGATATGAATTAATCTAATGCAGAAACTGATGGTACATAATCACTCATTTCGAATAATGTACGAAATACTTATGATCAGAAAATTACTTTTAGTATTAAAAAGCATAGTATTTAATTTTTACTACATCTAATAATTCAAAATTGAAATCGAAATCGAAATCAGTTAGGCCAAACACTAGTGCATCACTAATCACTAATACTAATCTTAACTTAAGATTACAGCACTGAGAAGCTAGAGTGTTTTCAGGGCTAATGCAATAAGAGCAATAATCACTACTGCTTTATAGGTGTCATACATTCTTTCATTATTTATTGATTTGTATGATAAAAGTATAATAATATGCATGTTTAATACATTCAGAACGGAGACTATCAATCTTATTGTAAAGCTTAAAGTATGCTACTGAATATGCCACAACGAATGTAAGACATATTGAGAGTAGTAGGAAGAATTGAGTTCCTGATGAACTACGATATACTGATCATAAAACGCAGTGAAGTGTTACTTGTGTACAATACCTAGTAATTCAGCTGCATTACATATCAATTTATATAGCTATGGTAGCCAGAGATTTTAAGAAAAATTTTGTAAAGTTTGTCAAATATTTCAAAACAGAACAGTATTAATTCATTAGATTCAAGTTGATAAAAAGGTAATCTAAGTTGATTTAATAATACTATATGAATGTATAACATTAAGGGGACTCGTACACCTTAAAACCCATAAGATCTTCGAATATGTGACTGTTGCAAGAATGGAATAACTTATTTATTTTAAAAGAAATTACTTCCAACTTTTTACAGCTGACTACATAGTATAGCTGCTTTCTGAAATAGTGATCAGAAAGTTTGTGTTGCCACAAATATTTTTATAATTTAATCCGCTTTATGACAAAATTTTTCGTCGTGTTTCCACCTTGCGCGCAAAGTTTAAAACATTCTGTTGCATAATTTATTTCCATATTTAATATATAGCTTTTATAACATTTAGAAACTACCGTGAACCAAAAATTCTAAGAATTTCATGTTAAATTTTTATTTTGTTTGGAGTCGAGTTTATAAAATGTATTTTATTAAAAAAATCTGTAATATTTTCGTCCATAAAATTTTTTAATATTAAAATATTCATCAGCTTTTTGGTTAAGTTAAAAAATAGGGCTCATATAAAGAATTCCATCAAATTTCAAGTATGTTCCATTAGCCATTTTTAAAATATCGTGCGCGCAAGCTGGAAACGTGACGAAAAATTTTGTCACAAAGCGGATTAAATTACAAAAATATTTGTGGCAACACAAACTTTCTGGTTGCTAGTTTCCAAAGCAGCTATATTATGTAGTCAGCTGTAAAAAGTTGAAAGTAATTAATTTTAAAATAAATAAAATATCTCAACTCTTGCAACAATAACATATTCGAAGGGTGTTAAGGGGTTTAAAGTGTATGAGCCCCTTAAAATAAATAGGCACGTGATGTCAACAGATAAATCTTTGCCCTAAAAATACATGCTACTTGAAAAGAAATTTTTGAAATATGACCTAAATTAAATTAAAAATTATAATATATTAACTTAACAGAGTACTTGAATTCTAATATTTAATGAGTTTTATCCACTAAACCAATTCTAGTATTAAGCATTCAGAAAAACTCGTTAAAGAGTTTTATAGCAATCGATTAGAAGATATATGATTACAAAAGATCAGTAGTGATAATTACAATAGTGATAAATAAATACTGTTTAATTACAATAGGGATAAATAAATACTGATAATTACAATAGTGGATAAATAAATACTAAGTATCTAAAGATTGATTGTTCATTTATGAATTTAAAACTTATGGTTGATTTTCCTAGCAATTTAATAAAAATGTAAAAGTGTCTAAAATTTATAAATTTGCTTTACTTTCGAAAATTTTGACAATTACACTGTATAGCATAAGAAATTAAATTTTAACCTGAAAACACTTACGAGAAATTAAAATACTATTTGAAAAAAATAAATTAAAAGCAACGATTTTTCAAAATTAAATTACGATTTAAAAGCAAAATTTTAATGAAAAAATTTTGCTCTAATATAAGATTTGGATACTAAAGAAATAATTTACAATAATTTTTATAAAATTCGAAATAATTCTCTTAAACTATTTTCATAACAGTAATTCGACAGAAACGTTCGTTTCAAATAAAATGATTTCGATATGCTGTAAAAAATTAAACAAGCGAAGCATTTTCCTATGAAGTATTATACAGATATAAAAACATTAACTGTTTTTCAAATCCAATCTCGAATATGGCATCATTTTAATAATAATTAGCTACTCAGTTATTTCATTCTTATTTACGCATCTTTATCCCGCTATTATTAGAGGTTAAGGAAGTTGAAAAGTCTATAAAATAAACTTCAGTTTTTATTATTACAAAAGTTCTTTTTTAAAACTTATTTCCGATGAAATTTGCATATTTAACTGTATTTTATTTTGAAACACTGAAGCAGACACGATGAGTATTGAATGAAGTTATAATTTGCTTCCTACGCATTGTTAACTTTTATTTTAATTTCAGACTTAAAATAATTTTGATGTAAATAAAAAAGAAACCTACAACAGATACTGTAGAAACCAATATTAATAAAGATTTTTGCTTTTGATCGTTATTTCAAAAGCTATATATAAATTTCCAATAAAAATAGAAATAAAAGATTAAACATAATGTAAGTGGGACGTTTAAAAGAAAATAGATTACATTTATTAAGGAAAAAGAAAAAAAAAATATTATGAAGATAAACCGATTTTCCTTACCTGGCGATGCACATGTTGCGCTACAATAGTGTCCATTTCCAAAATTGAAGAAATTCTAGAGTATCTTGATATGAAAATATGTTGATAAGTACTCATGTGAACTAGAAGAAATTTCAAAATTAGCTATATGAAAAATTTCATGAACTATTCAAACTAACAAATAGAAATGAGTTAAGTTTATATTTGTGAGTCATGTACCAGTCTATAGAGTTAAATTGCTTATAGTTTTTGAATTTTAAATAATTACTTTAAAAATATTTCCATATACAGTAAAACACAAATTCGCTTAAAGCGATCACTCTGCTAAAATGAATACAATCAGCACGAACTTTCCAAATTTTCAAATTTCTTTTCTCTTGTTTCTATGCTAGGAATGCGTTCAGAAATGTTACGTCCCGTTTAATTGAAAACCTCTTATGGCACTTGGCAGGTAGGTCTACACGGCCATCAACATACATGAACTGAATTTGACCAACGTAAAGGTTCACTTTTCCTCCCAAATGCAAAAAGTCTTCTTTAGGCTTTGGGTCAAAGCATTATTACAGTTATGAAGAGATGTTATCGGAAGGGACTTGTGAAAGCTGCAATTCACGCTGTTGAAAATGAGACGAAAACGACAACTTGGAGTGTGCTTGATGCAATAAATTCTATCGCCCCATCCTGGAAATGTGTGTCTTCATAACATATACATTCTTTAGGCTTTGGGTCAAAGCATTATTACAGTTATGAAGAGATGTTATCGGAAGGGACTTGTGAAAGCTGCAATTCACGCTGTTGAAAATGAGACGAAAACGACAACTTGGAGTGTGCTTGATGCAATAAATGCTATCGCCCCATCCTGGAAATGTGTGTCTTCATAACATATACATAAATGGTTTAACATAGCCTGGACATAAAAACGCTAATCCTGCTGACAGTCTACAAGACGTTGCGAAACCTTGTGTTAGTTTTAAGGAGTTTGTTAGTGCAGATGACAGTGTTGCCGTGCGTGCTCCAGTGGAATCAATTACACAAGCAGTTGTGTCTAGGGTGCAAGAAATGTCATCAGAAGGAAGTGAGAAAGACAATATATCATTCCGCCCCAACACTAGGAAATGTTACATCCTTGGAGAAGATTGAATGTTTTACAGCAACAACCGAATTGACCGATAGTTTTAAGGAAGCATGAGTGCTGGGCGTGAACCATCCAGGCATTTTCTTTCCCGTCTGCGACAGCTCAATATACAGGAGTTTCCCATAAAAAATTATCTTTGAATGCATTTTTTCAAGTCACAGTACAGTAAATAATGTAAGTACTACAGTGTTTTTTGAATGACGACATGCATAACATTATTATTGTGCTTGATGGCTTATGTAACTATATACTATGGTATAAATGGTTAAAGTAGTAGAAAAATTATTTCAGAAATAAAATTCGAATCCCTGGTTTATATATATTTTTTTAACACGGAGCCTTGATTTTTGGTCCCTTCAGGTCTGTGTTAATGAGGGTTTACTGTATAATATAATGCAAAGCATCACTTTTGAACAGATTTAACGTAGATAAACTCAGAGCTTTATAGAATCCTTTTAAGGAAGTTTTAAGTATTAGTTTTTTCTTTCACTGACCTACTAATTTTGCAAGAAAGTAATCTACATATCCATAGGAATAAAACGGCTAAAATTTATAGGAAGATATCACTGCTACAAGACATATATAAAAAATCTCATATTGATTTCTGTGCTAAATCCTTAAAATAACTTTGATGATTTCTGGCAAGAATAGAGAAGACATTTAACAACTCTGTGCCCACAGAGTTGTTAAATGTCTTCTCTTTTCTCACCAGAAATCATCAAAGTTATTTTAAGAGAGAAATCATCAAAGTTATCCAGAAATCATCGAAGTTATTTTAATAGAGAAGATATTTAACACTTCTGTGGGAAATACATAATACCGGACATATTAGAGCTTCATTAACTTGATACCTTTATTACGTTCCGAGATAAATATTTTCATTCATTTCTCCCAATTTTCCAATGAATTTACACATTAATGATATAATGCTGCTACAGCTCAGCGAATAATATGATAATGATTACATCTTTTACACAAATTAGATAACAGAATTCGAAGACAACAAATAAATTAAAAGCAATTGTTTTTAAGATAAAGTAAGCGAAATTTATTTACGTTGGAGAAAACATTAGGCTACTGGCTCACAAACTCAATCGCTGTAGGGCTTCAGATGCAAACTACGACTTTTCATTTAAACAAAATTTTTTTGAAGCACTTTACTCGGAAATAGAGTAAAATTTGATTCCGTTCGAAGCCAAATATAATCACATTAAACATCGTTTCAGAGACACACACAGTGTTACTTTTTTATTCACTTCCATCCTTGGAATATAAATTACGACTTGTAAGGCCTTCCTGTCGTAACTGAAAGCACACTCGACACAGATTCGGGAGGTCCGGCGCTTGAATCCTGTCTAGAGTATAGCGGATTTCTTCAATTTCTTGTCATCGATATAATCTACTGACTCTATAGTAGGGCCGGAACAAAAAGGGGGTGGACGATAAACCATCACCACCAGGATTTGTCGATTGGGTTTCCTCATCCTCAGTCACCTTTGAAACGGGAAATAGGGTATATATATATATTCCCCTAAAACGGGGTATATATACTCCCCTCCTTTCCGCATACCTTCATGGTATAACTGGAAACATATTCGGCGCATATTCGGGAGGTCTGGAGTTCGAATCTCGGCTAAGGCACTGCACATTTTTCAAGTCTCCAGCATAAAAAATCCCCTCACCTCTATAAACTAAAGAGATTATTCAAATAATATACAAAGATGAAACAGTGAGTTCACTAAATAAGTCGCAAATATTATTTGTACAACTGACACAGATCTAAAAAGTCTACATCAAAGTACAAAACTATTTGCCGATTCGGCAATTTTTAAACTTTTTAAAATGGTATACTAGTGTCTCTTGCAGATTCAGTTTAGAAAAGAAATATCTGGATATTGCTAATTATCAGTAAAAATAGTCAACTGGTCTTTAAATTTCCACTTGCTATATTTATTACTAAAAGCATATACTTACTCATTTCGAAAATCTGTAAAGGAAGAAGGACACAGTCTGTCCTGTCTGTGACGTCATCTTTCTGTCCGGGTGCTGAGCAAACAGAGTCGACAGGGGGCAGTAGAAGTATGAGCGACACTTCTGGATTTAACTCTATCACCTCAACGTCGCATATTCTTTCCGGAAGGAAAAACAAATATATTTTCGAAGCACACAGAGATAAAAAAATAATAAAAAATAAAATATAAGTAAAGTATAAAATAGAAGAAGACAATACACCATGAAAAGCATTGTTACTGGATATACTTCCAAATGCTGGTTTTTTTTTAATGATATCTTAGAGACTGGGAATTCTCATTTATAAAAATCAGTATCAATAATGGGATGTCCGTAGTTATTAACTCGCTTTAGTAATCCTGCCAGAGCGTGTAAGCAATAAAACGTTTTTCGAGAATCTATTGCTCGTACAGTGTCGGAACTGTATTAATATCTCTAATACTCTCTCGCATAAGTTTTCTTCAGTTGTGTTATTTTTGCGTAATATTAATTTGAGAACATTCGCTTTTATTTTTCATTTTGTTATATACAAGGTGTCTACGATCAACGGACAAACTTGAAGGGGCCATTGAGCGTATTTAAGCATGTATATTTTGTATAGAAATTTAGGGACTAAACTGACATGTTTAAGGCACGAACGCAAAAAATAACACGCGAGGAAAATGTGTTTATTTACAAAATCAATGCAAATTGCTTCTTTCTAGCAATACAGTATTCACAGAAAATGTTCAAAATTGCGACCACTAATAATAATAAAAACTATAGCTCTGAGTGGCTGGCAGTGGAGAGGGTAGAGGCCAGTAGCAAAGAATCTCTAAGGAGATTCTTTGCCAGTAGTGAGCCGGGCAAACCACAATCCGATGCATCAGCGGAAGAATGTCTTTCGGAACTGTGATTTCTAGCGTGATGGATGAGTTTACGCATAGTGAAAATGCTTACATGCGTCTGAGATATGGCCCTGCTAATGAGAACGGCAGAGCAGCACTACGGTTGTACCATGAACGGTTTCTGAACAAGTATATGCCGAAGCACACAATGTTGGAGAGATTACATCTGTTCCTGTGTCAAAACGGGTCATTTTTGCCAACTCTGACAGTAAGAGTGTAACAAGAACTGTACGACAACCTCGCATGGAAAAATCCCTCTCGAATATTGTGCATTGAATACCCCACAGAAGTACCAGAGCTATTGCACGTCGTCTGCATGTGAGTAAGCCCATCGTTTGGAGAGTATTGCATGAAAATAGTTTACATCCATACCATCTGCAGAGAGTCCAAGCCTTGCAAGCGATAGATTAGTCTCTGCGCTTTGATTTCTGTATTTGGTTCTTGTAGCAGTATGCGGCGCAGGAGGATTTTCCTTTTGGATGTGTTATTCACGGAACTGGCAATTTTCACACAGAAAGGCGTCTTTAGTATGCACAACAATCACGTGTGGGCAACTGATAATCCACATGTGTTCCAAATCCGCTTCTCTGTGAATGTATGGGCTTGTATTGTTATTAGACCCCATAGGCCCATACCTCTTACCTACAACTCTCAATGGCTCACATTAACGTATTTTTCTGCAAGAGAGTTTACCGGAATTGCTTCAGGATGTCCCGGCTTTTGCTCTTGATTGCATGCGGTGCCAGCATGTTGGTGCGCCTGCCCATTACGAAATTGGTGGTCCGGAATTACTTGAATGCAAATTTTGTGATGGATTGGATATGGTGGACCAGTCCGAGAGCCAGCTCGTTTGGGAGATTTATCTAGCATGGATTTCTTTTTATGGAAGCATCTGAAGGGCATCATTTACGAGACTTACCTTGACTCACCGGTGGACGTCGTTGCACGACTATCCGTTGTGGCTATAGACGTGCGCGAAATGCCTGCCATTTTTCAAAATGTTCGCTGATCCCTTCTACGACGCTACCAAGAATGTATTACTATTGTTGGTAGCAATTTTGAACATTTCTTGTGAATACTGTATTGTTGTAAAGATGCACTTTGAGTTGATTTTGTAAAAAATAAATACATTTTTCCTACCGTGTCTTTTTTTTTTTTTTTTTCGATCGGCCTTAAAACTTTATTTCCTGTACAAAAATACATGCTTTAGTACGCTAAGCCACCTCTCCAAGTTTGTTCCATGATCGTAGAATCCCTCTGTATACTTCACTTGCAGTTCATATTTATCGAAATTTAATCACTTTTCAAGAAACACAAATATTCTTGAAAATCTAGCAAATGGTTTTATTTTTATTAAAAATAAAATTACTGAAGACAAAAAAGGCTCACAACTTTCGATATTCCTTGTGAGGCAATTTAGCATCATTTGATTAAAATACCATTTTATACATTTGGAGAATTAGTAGTATTTTATACATTAGCATGATTCGATTAAAGTACTATTTCATAAAAGAATGTCATGCAAAGTTTTATGTCTGTTTTGGACTTACTGGGTAGCCTCACATTATAATAGTGATAACAAAGTTGCCCTCTTTGGAAACATTGTTGTTTTTATTTAGAATTTTATACTAAACTTGTTTAATGGATTATGCAGTTATTTTAAATACAATGCTTTTTTATGAAAGATATTAATGTAGCCAGGACGCCATAATTCTAAGACTGTTAGGGTTAACATCTAAATACTCGTAGATTTAAAGGAATACTAACTAAACAAGGGACTCACCTTGAGTTTTTAAATTCCGAAACACAATTAAATTTTAATTCCGAAACACAATTAAAAAACATTTCACTTAAGGACGTAAAACTTACAAGAGCATTATAATTAAACATAAAAATAAATTCCGAAAAAGTACATACAGCCAGCCTGTTCGCCGGGAGGAATGCGGTTTTGTTAAAAAAAAAGTTTCATCATTAACTTCATGCCAAATAGAGCAAATGAATATCTGCAATGTATCCCTTTTTGGTAATGACGCAGATAATCCATTCTTTCAATCATGCAGTATTTTGCGAAGATATCGTGATTTTTTTCAGTTCTCACGCGAAGAAACTCTTCTAGAAAGTGGTTCGAAGAAAATCACACTCATCGTATTTAACATTGTTCATACAGAAATAGACACAAGATTCGGAGAATAACAATCTTTTTGATGAAATTTTGAATGCTATTGCCAAACAATACTCTCCAGAAATCAAAAATGCATTTAACTGGCATGTTGATGTTCAACACATATTTCATCATCATACCCGCTGACAGATTTTTTGGTGATGCAGTCCGTGGGTGTCGGTTAATACCAAAGTATTGGAATTTGTCCTGGTACCACTTACATATGAATGCCTCTCCAACTACATCAGGCTTAACCAACACATGAGTTAAGTGAAATGTCTGAAAATGAGGTACTGCTACATTATTTTATTATTTGGTACGTGCTCCACCGTTTGGCACTCCAGGAAAAGGGAGAGATGCCACGTGAAGGACATTTTAAAGAAAACTGGCTCGCATCCCGTTACGCATTGGAAAATCCACAAAAACACCTATGTAGCCAGCCCGTTTACCGAGACTCGAGCCTTGGTTCGAACTACCAGTGTTGAACTGCTTTTGGCGTTTGGCCGCTGGTGGACCTCTATATTGATACACACTGAATCCAGAAATCTCCTACCCTGCAACTATTGTTTAACTTAACTCTACTTAATGCCTCATTATTTTGAATAAATACATGTGTATTGAAATCATTAAATTAACAGAGATTCAAATTAAAGAAATCTAAAAATAATTACATTAATCTTCACATCCTGTCTGATTGCCCCGTAGTAATCATGGAAGGATGACCTGACTGTATTCTTGAGGTTTGATAATTAAGTATTTAAGACCTCATAAGACTCGTGTGGTGTCCGCCGATAACATCGCGGCAAAATCATCGTGGGCGAAAACGTCGCGGAGAAAACAACGCAAGGCGAAAATGTCATGCTACAAAACATCGTGGGGGAAAACATCGCAAAGAGAAAACATCGTGGTACAAAATATCGTCGTCGAAAATAAAGCGGTTCAAAAACTTCGAAGTTTAAAAACATCGTCGTCGAAAATATCGCGGTAAAAATAAAGTATCGACAAATCATCGCAGGATGATAACATCGCAGACATGCTTTTTTCAGGCTTTAATAATTGTAAATGGATATTCCCATAATGATTTGTGAGCGCGAGATGGAAAGAAAGATAATTTTTACTTTCATATTTTTTATTAACTAATAACTTTTTTCTGAAAAAGTAAGAAGGAATTTTAATACTTAAGAATAAATTGAAGCAGAACAAGAAATAATTTTCATTATAAGAGTATTAGATTGACAAAAGTGAAGAAAATAATCTCATAATTAGCAATTTTTTATAGATAAGGTCATGCAGTTACGTAACTTCCTTTTTCTAAACATTTTTAGATTACACTATTAATGAAAAGTTACCAGTAAAAACTTTATAAAAAATGATTTATTAATGAACTTTGTTAGTTAACTATGTCAGTTTAAAATTCTATTAAGTGCCATAACTTGCCTTAATTTTCTATGCTTAAATTTCCTTCTTACGTTTTCAGCAAAAATTTATTAGTTAATAAAAAAATATGAAAGAAAAGATTATCCTTCTTTCCATCTTGCGCTCACAAATCATTATGGAAATATCCATTTACAATTATTAAAGCCTGAAAAAAGCATGTCTGCGATGTTATCGTCATGCGATGATTTGTAGATACTTTATTTTTTACCACGATATTTTCGACGACGATGTTTTTAAACTGCGAAATTTTTGAACCGCTTTATTTTGGACGACGATATTTTGTATCACGATGTTTTAGAGCTACGATGTTTTCTCTTTGCGATGTTTTCTCCCACGATGTTTTTTATCACGACGTTTTCGCCTTGCGTTATTATCTCCGCGACGTTTTCGTCCGCGATGTTTTTGCCTCGATGTTTTCGGCTGTAACCGGCTCGCGTGGGCTGTCGAAGCGACCTTGCTGGAATAACCTGTAGACTTTAGGCACTTAAGCGGATATATTTATGAATTTAAGGGTATAATCCGGGATGTCCTGAGGATGTGATAAGGTAGATGTCGATTATAGTAACGTCCCGTACACTATTGATGGGACCTAGCGACGATGCCATGAGGATAAACTGTATTGTGATGTTAAGCACTCACGATATGTTAAGGAAATAGACCAAGATGTCTTGAGGATGTGCTTGTATCCCTTGAGCAATATCATCAAGATACTTCGTAGAAATTTGATAACATCCGAAGATAATTTCTTCGTAGAAATTTGAGATACTCCGTAGAAATTTATGTGAAAAGATGACTTTAGGAAGCGCTTTCAAAGAAAAACTGCCTGGCATTTAAGTTACAGATGCAGAAAACCACAAAAAGACACTTTCAGCCAAACCATCCCCTGCGATTTGTCATTTGTTTTTGACTTGGTTAGGGCAAAGTACATAGCATTATCTGTGTAAAGCAAAGAAATAATGCATTCGAGAAGGAAAACTGGCTCGCATTCGTGTTAAACATGTGGAAATTTACAAGTAATGGAAACTACACTTGTTGATGACAGTACGAACTCCAGCACTGGTGGACTGTACTTAGATCATTCTGCGAAGGCTTTACTTAAATTTTCATGTTTTCTGTCACTTAAAGTTTTTTTAATAAATTTTCCTGACTTCATCTGTGAAATATTATTATAATGATTTAAAGATATTAAATATAATGCAGGTAATATGTTTTGAAAAATTACACATGCGATGTTATTTAAATAGGTATATTAGCAGTAAATTAGTCTCAAAGAGAAATTTTGAACAATATTTGATGCAAAATACATATAAAGAAACATTATTGTTGAAAAATGTGTGTATAAAAATAAACGACTTCAGGCTTTTATAAAAATCACTCTAGGTTATTTTAAGAAATCTAATGTCCTCAACATTGTGATTAGTTCTGACGAATCGGGTTCCATTGTATTAATGACAGCCTATCAGCGACCGAGCGGTATACTGGTACTCGGTCTGGTACCAGTATACCGCTGAATACTGGTACTCGGTCCGGTGTTCGAATGCCGGCGAACAGGCTGGTTGCATGGGCGTTTTCGTGGTTTTCCCATGTGTCACGAGTAAAGAGCCAATTTCCTTTAGAAAGTCCTCCACGAAGGCATTCCGCCCCTTGGAAGATGGCTCTCGAGTCTCTACCGTAATCAAATAGAATAAAACAAACCATATATGACTGACAAACATATTTCGCCATTCACACATGTAAGACAAATTTCTTTACTATTACCGCACAATGAGAGATTTTCCGTAACAAGTAACTTGTCTCTTTTCCAAACATCGTAAAGCTTATGTCTTTCTAACTGTAACGGATATTTTACCTGTAGAACTATAATTAGAAATTACACGAAAATGGCATCTCAAATCCTATACTAATGAAAATAAATATTCTAAAATTATAAAGCACGAGAGCAAACGGATCTTAGCTTGTCATGAAACATCCAAGTATATTTTCCAACAAAGAAGCTGAAAAATAATAAAAGGGAGTGAGCATGGTTGGTACATTACTGAGCACACTTCAGCTAATACCCTACTCCTGACACTGACAACAGTTGATACTTGCTAAGACCTTCAAGACTAAAGTCAATAAGATCACTGCAGCAGTAAAAGATTAATAAATCCTGAAAGGGGATAGGTAAACAACATTGCTACTCACCTGTGATCTGCAGCCTGATCCGACGGCACTTCTAAGAGTGTTAATAAATTCCTTATTGCAGAAGATAGGGCTTTCTGGAACTTCAGTTGCGCTACAGTTGGATTTGCTATCTTTTGTTCGCCACCTTGCGACTTCACCCACCCCCATTCATCACTATAAGTAAAAACACATCTGTGGCTTAAAAGTAAGAACATCGTAGGCGCTTAATTTTAATTAAGTATCGTCTCTTATTAAGGTAGAGAGATAGAGAAAAATAGGTCTCACAAAAATAATTTAAAATTTCTTGTTTGGACAGCCAATTATTGCTGCAGATATTGGTGCCTTTTATAAACGAAGGCTAAACTCCATTTTTATAATCTTAAATACTTTTATTTTTCGAAAGTATGTCGAACTTACATTTCAAAATGTCATCAACCCGAATGTTCCTTAATGCCCACCTATTACTCTCATTCATTTTATTTCCTCCAGCAGATAGCTTGCAAATTAAGTGACTGGAATTAAGGAAGTGCAGCTGAGTTAACTCCTGTTTAGCATCACCGTCATTTTGCAGTGCTTATCTTTTCTGGTTAATTACTAATTATGGCAGTTATTACCAATCTTCGGGAAAAAGACTTTTAATTAATATTCATGTTATGAAAGCACACTGCGTATCTGCTTACTATACTTTTATTACGAACTACTGAGTGATTTAAAAAATATGAAATAAAAAATTTTTAGCCTTAATTTAATTTTATTTTTTAACATGTTTATTTTATACTTATAACATAGTTAATTCATAGTTTCTATAAAAGTTTATACAATTTTTATTGTTAAGGAAATAAGTTTCTGATATCATATATAATATATTTGACTACGCAATAATTTACAGGGTTTTTCATAAAATCGGTTACAAACTTACAGGACAGACCGAGACGACGGAAAATCACATAGCATTGCATTGTCAGAAACGCTTTCCTGGAGCGGTAGGGAAGACAGAAAACACAAGAAAAGAAGGACAAGAACATCTGGTGAATGCCGGGAGTGCTTTAGACAGTTGCAGGAGCCGGACCATACTTCAAAAGTCTCTACAAGCCGACCGGGCGTCCGGATCCTGTTCTCACCTATCACCTGTGTTAAGGATAATAAACACGTTTTATGACCTTGTTCGTGTTCTTTTTTGTAGTGTTTTGTCCCCCCAGGGGTCGACGTAGAGAATTCTGCGAAGCTACTGCCTAGGATCTGTACCTAGGCAGTCTCGGCCACGGGGGTATAAAATTTATGAACTTGGTGGTTCTGAAGGCCCTGGGAAAGGTCACTTATTGGCCGGCCTCGGGGTCTGGCATGTCCTGAGCGGTGTGGAGTCGTAGCCGGAGGGCTAGTTCCCCTCAGCTTGTTGGGTAACGGCCCACTGCCACGGGCTTGCCCATGCGACTGGCAGGAGCAATGTACGACCAGTGCTGCCTAGTGTCATATCCAGGTGATGTGCTGCTCCTCTGGAAGGGTAATAGCGGTGGTTGAACCTCCACGAAGTGCCCGAAGGCAGAGTGGACCCGTAATGTGATTTAGTTCACGGGGCGGGGCAGCCAAGTTTGTTGTAGTGTTTTGTGTTGTCAGAACCGCGCCAGGAAAGCGTTTCCGACCATGCATTGCTGTGTGATTTTCCATCGTCTAGTTGAAAGCTATACCTCCTGAAATTTTGTGACCGATTAGCTGAAGCACCCTGTATATAATGGGCTATAAACTATATAATAATAGGTTATAAATTGGGTTATAAAATACATAATTATAGGCTATAAAATGACACAAAAATTTATAATATGTGATATAATATATTCAGCTGCAAAACCAAAAATGAACCAGTTACAAAATAATAAACACGCACATACACATGGGGCAAATTCAAAACATAATCCATACATTTTGAGACGGAAAGAAGTGGATTCTCCGTTTCTTCAAGGAATGACATTTAATATTAACATTTAATACTAAATATTATTCAAGGAAGAATATTGATATTAGTTTTCATAGCTTCAGATTAAGTGATAGACAAGGATTACTTACATGAAAATGAATATATTTAATAATTTATTTTATAATCAATTATTTTTGCTAACTTTATTATTTAATTTTAATTTAGCCTAAACGGTCACCATGCATCAAATTGTTAGAGATCTAATTAATAACTAAACATTTAATCAAAGTTTCCTCAAAATTGCATTTTTTATCTTACAATTTGTATTTCTTTGATCTATATTTTGCTCGATAGATGGTATGCATGCTGCTTCAATTTTTAGTATGTATTTATTTTTGTTAAATTTACAGAAATTGTTCTCCTCATGGCTCGAAATATTTTTGCTCCTAGGTACATCAAAATTCATAGATTTCCGTTCGCTCAAAATTCATAGATACCTTCCTCTCCCAAACCATTATCAATGTAAAATTTAATTTTGTCTTAATCTGAATACAGGATAACAGACTGAGTGATACTGAATAAGAGTTTTCTAAATTTCGTTTCTTTAAAGCAGGGAATTTAAATCACAAATACTCAATTCCATGCATCCTGAGGTTAAAACTTTAAGCCTCTTTTCATGCAAATGCATGAAAGTATTTCATTATTTTTAAATTCTTTAAAGCAGAGCAGAATAAAGCCAGTTGTTATAACTGTTACATGATTACAATTTCCACTGTTATTAAGTTAAGTATCACAGATTAAATAAAGTAGACCTCATAAGGAAAAACTCACCAAGAAACATGTGGATTTTCGCGAACTCTGTAGTAAGGAAGAACATTAGGAGCTTTCTTGGGCACCAGAACACGTATGAGATCCACGGAACTACTAATTTTAACATAAGCGACGTAAAGTCCTTTTGGAAGAGGTATTCGACTGACGTGATTGTACGCCATCATAGCCTAAAATTGAAAATGGTTAACATTATATATACATATATATATATTTTAGTGAACAAATTTAGATTATTTTACGAGGATAAATATTCCTTTAAGACAAAATATGACGCAACTAATTATTTCCTTAAGACCATGTTACGATTATATCCTTTCAATAGAACTTTTATTTACTGCATAAGTAACTCTATACTAAACTTTTGAAAAACACTGAATTAGAGGAATAAGAGGGAATGTTAGCTTGCGAGAACGTTAAAGCTCAGAGGGTTCCTTCTGCGCTTGAAAATATTTCCCTATTTGGTGTTCTTTGAGTTTGGGGGTAGAGGCGTAAGTTCGCATAAGTTCATATTTGGGAATCATTGAGAATATTTTAGACACGTGCCAGTTTATTAGCAAATTCCTTATAGCAGCAGCAGTCACTATGAACAGCCTTACAGTGGCAGTCAGTATGAGATCAGACGTTATTATGAAATATAATTTTAGGATTCCCGAGCAAAGAGTACTAAGATATAAATATAAGTACTCTTTGCTCGGGTATATACTCAGTACTAAGACATAAATCTATAATCTCGGTAATAAGATATAAAATATATGCTCGGGTACTAAGATATAAATCTAAGTACTCTTTGTTAATAAGTACTAAGATATAAATCCATTCGCGAATAATTTCATTAAAATTCTCTTTTCTTTATTTCCCCTTTTCACATTACTGCCAATAATAAAATATTTTTTTTAGACAACGTACATTTTATTTCGTAAATTAATTGCTCTATCATTCATTTTTTTGTAGAGATGTAGGTTTTCGTTTTTCAGAGATATTGTTATCAGGTTCAATGTTCCTTCTTACCTTCTTCGGGAACATACAAGGACCTGACTCGGAACAGAGAGCTTACTAAAGCTATGTTCACTAATTGTGGTAAGTAGACAGGATACAGACGAAGGGTATACAAAACCCTTTATTTTTTCTCTATATACAATAACTTCCGTACTTCGGAATACACTGACCCGCTACTTGGGGTCTAACGTAAAAGTATAAAAATAAAACTAAACTCTAATTTACTTTTAGAATAATAAACGTGGAAGATTGGCCTTATAATAACAGGAAGCGTATGTAGTACAGAGACTGTGAACACTACAATACGTTTAAATTTATCAAGAGGATTAAAACCTCTGGCCTGGAAGGCAACAAGCAACTGCGTAACTTCTAAGGTAAGCGGCCTGCTTCGAACTCACTGCTTCCTCTCTCTCGCTTGGCAAAAAGCCACAACTTAAATACTTGGCGTTCGCCAGACAACTTTGCATAAAAACCTTAACGCTTATAATTCTGGCCGGAAGTAGAAAATAAGAAGTGATAGTAAAGATTCAAAATAAAAATAAACGTTAGTAAAACTTAAGATCCTTACATTGTAACCTGATGTGAATACCACAAGACTTCTTTTTCTTATTTCCTTGTTCCTATTAAATTATATACGTTTTTTGCTGCACTTCATTTAAACGTATTGTCTAAAATTGTTCTATAATGTATTTTCTCCCTCCTTTGAGCTTGTCTTCGTGGTGTAAAGATAGCACACTCGGCGCGTATTCGAGGGGTCCATTTTCGAGTCGCGACGAGAGCATTGCTCAATGTTAACGTCACCCGCATAAAAAACTAGTGACTCTACAATTCTAACTTAATTAACTGCGAGATACATATATACATACACACGTACAGATATACGTATAGATATACGTATAGATCTCACGAAAAAAACCCATTTTTAATTCATTTAAAATCCCTTTTACAATCCGTTTGAGATAAACAGTCCTTAACTTCCGTACGTATCTACGCACATATGTAATTTCGTCGATACGTAGATAACATCAGTCCGTAATTCTCTCCATAAGTACAGATGTCACGTAAAAATCGTCTGGATTCTGGAAAGGTCAAAATAGATATTTCCTTTGAAATGTGATAACAATAATTCCTTTATTTCGTATAAGGAAGTGAAACGCATGAAAAAAAAATACGTATAAAAGTTTTGTAAAAGTTAAGCAATATAGAAATAATGAAAGTATTTAGACAGCCTATCACTTGAAAATTCAGCAATACCTTTATAAAAATTCTTTATGAAAATCTGACGACTTGGGATATTAACTTATGTTACATAAAGATATCGTTTTACACTGTTCACATGCAAATAAAATTGCTATAAATATTATGGTTTATTTACCTGTGTCGATGACAGTAATAGGCTATTGACAGTGGAAACTTCCTGGCACGTTTCAGTGTTGATGCTCAACTTTCGCTGCAACTTCGCAAGAGGAACCCATCTAAGGGATAAGTTGTTTACAGTCTTTGCATCTGGAACATATTTTACAGTACATAGTACCGTAGTATCGTCGGAATCCTTAATGGGCTTGTAGTAAAACTGACCGAGATCTTGAACTCCTAAGGCAGTCTAAAGAATAAACATCATAATAATTTAGATATTTATCATGGATATTTAAATAATGGATATGGAAGAGATACCAAGAACATGCTGTCTTAGGCTACATTATATTTCAAATTTCTGAAGTCTACTTTGGTTAAGATCATACCGTAATTCAGCTACAGCTCCATGTAATGGATTACTTGTTGCTATATTAATGATATTACCAATGAGTTTAATGATAAGGAATTACTTTATTGTCTTAAGGAATCATATTACCTTCAAGATCTAAGGTGGGATTGGAATACATTTTGGTAAAGAATGACTCGATTAAATAAAATTATTATTTTAAACCGTAAATTCTCAATACTCTACTGCTGTCATTCATAATACATTACCATTAATAACAGGTATCCACTAGAAATGTAAATAGTGTGATCTGTATGTTAACGAGCTTTTGTTCAGCAAAAAGACCTCAAAGCCATAACAGACTTGTGTAAGTGTTATTATTATCGAGATATACTCATGATGCTAAGTGAGTTAGTTAGTTTTAGCAGAGCCTGAGCTAAAACTATCGGTGCCCACTGATTCAGTATTTTATACCTGAGATTTCTGGCAAGTTAGAAATACTGTGTATTATATTAATATGGAAATTTATACACTCCGAAAGCAGAAAAATTTAGCAGATGAAAATTATCAAAGTCTCCAACATTTGATGAAATCAAACTCGCAAACATCGTTACAAGCTGTAGTTACAGATTAACCGCTGTCTTCAGAAACCGATGCCACTTCTCGTGTTATCCATTGAGATGAACTCTCTCTTAAATTCTATGGGCTAGTTACACCCAAGTTAAAGATTAACCACTGTCTTTAGAAACCGATGCCACTTCTCGTGTTATCCATTGAGATGAACTCTCTCTTAAATTCTATGGGTTAGTTACACCCAAGTTAAAGATTAACCACTGTCTTCAGAAACCGATGCCACTTCTCGTGGTATCCATTGAGATGAACTCTCTCTTAAATTCTATGGGCTAGTTACACCCAAGTTAAAGATTAACCACTGTCTTCAGAAACCGATGCCACTTCTCGTGTTATCCATTGAGATGAACTCTCTCTTAAATTCTATGGGCTAGTTACACCTAAGTTAAAGATTAACCACTGTCTTCAGAAACCGATGCCACTTCTCGTGGTATCCATTCAGATGAACTCTCTCTTAAATTCTATGGGCTAGTTACACCCAGTGGATGCTTAAATGGGGTGCTGTCCGTGGACTACGGAAGTATATAGCAAAACGTGAGAAGTCACGGGATCAATGGAAGAGCATCTTCAGGAAAGACGAACCAATTCAGTATGTTTGAGTTGAAGTATAACTAAAAGCTAGATCTACTAGCAGTATGAGCTAAACCAAATCTCCTAGAAACAAGACCCCTATTCACTAGATTCAGAAAGAGTGGTATAAAGTGCCTGCAAGTAAGGAAAACGCGTTCTTAGAAAGGTAGAATCTAATATAGAAGCAAGTGTTAGACCGACATTATATTAACAAATTTGAGATTAAGATAAATATATTCCTATACGTCTTCGGTCATTATTGGCAATACACACTAAAAGGTATTTTTTCCCACTTTACCGCATGCCTTCGTGGTATGTTTAGAAAGCATGAATGGATAGCATTTGGAAGGTCTGGCTGTCGAGTCCCGGCGCAGTTTTGCTGAGGTCTTCTGAAAAAAATCTGAAAGGTTTCAGTTCAGATTTTAAATTACGTCCAAAGAGGCGTTTTTTTAAACATTTTGTGTGTTACCTTTACTTATTTAATATCCTGTTCTTTGCACTTAAACCATAAAATTCAGTTCAAGATAAATATCGCAAAATAATTTTAAATTGAACATATCTTTGTTTCCGAGACACAGTCTCACGCGCTGGAGATAAAAATGTTTTTTCTGTACAACGTTGCCATAGCTCGCTTTGAAATCGTAGAGTTTGTAAATCAAAAATTCGTTAAAGTTTTACAAAATATGAAATCGATAATGAAACAAATTTCAAATCTGTGCTTTCAGATGCCCATATTCGCAGTAGGATTACGTCATTCAAAATTGGATGGCTCTAGGTATCGTTCTTTTATCACAATGCGAAACACATACTTACATTTATGCAGATTCTTCATTATTTAATTTCTTCAAATATAATACAGGGCGATAATATTAGGTGACTACAGTTTGAAAAGTGAAGCGGGCATTCAGAGTGATTCGACACAAAATCGCAAACGAAAACAATAGTCTTTCAGAGACAAAGCCCCTTTGGACTAAACAAAAAAAATCTGAAACTTTAGATTGATTACGTCCAAGGGACATTTTTGAGTTTTCTGTGTCCTTTACTATAAAATCAGTCTCGCATTTGGTTTCCAGATGCCCATATTCGAGTGGAGAACTATGTTATTCAAATTTGATGTCTCTAGCTACCGTGGGTTTTCTCACAATGCGAAAAACATGCACACATTCATGCCGATTCTTCATTATTTAATTTCTTTAAATATAATGCAGGGCTCTAATATTTGGTGGCAATAATTTGAAAAGTGAACCGAGATTTATAGTGAACCGATGCAAAATGCCAAAACGAAATTAATAGCCCTTCTAAGCAAATTGTTCATTTTGGCTTGAGAAAAAGGAAGACCCTTTAGTGGCTTTCGAACTAAAATGTGGGAAAAGATAATTCATCACCACCAAGATTTGACGATTAGATCCCCACTACCCCAGTTGCCCTATAAATGGCGTAGAATTTAAGGTATGTTCTCTCCCTTTATCACGTACCTTCTACCAGCACCCTAAGCACGTTCTACCGGAATACCCTAAGCACGTTCTACCGGAATACCCTAAGCACGTTCTAGCGAGTACGGAGTTCAAAAAGCGGTGAGAGCATTGCACATTTTTCAAGATTTCTGCTTCGATATAAAAAAAAAAAATTCCCAATGGTCTCTGCAACATATTTTTGGCAAATTGTAATTCATTTAAAAATAAATTAGCTAAGGAGTAAAAATGTATTTTGACTAACAAAAACTAAAGAAGAATGAATTTACTTCCTTAGACTTTGATTAATAAGGGCTAATGAAACTTTCAGCTTTCTCATACTTGAATTAAAAATTCATTAATAAAAAGTTTAAAAACTTATCAATTATAGTATTACAAATTTAGTGAAACTCAGTCATTTAGTCTAAACCTTTGGCAGACAAATTATAATAGTACTAGCGGAAGCACCCGATACCATTCAAGTTAGATTGAGAGTAATGTATCTAATAACAGAGAGAATGATACCGCTGGAATCGTTCTTTAATAATGATGCAAAAAATACGATTCATATTCATGCATTTTTCAGTCTGATGCGATATGGAACTAACATAAAAGATTTCGATAGACAAATAAACTAGTAATTCTCTCTCATTATATCAGCAACAATGGCATGCAGTTTTTAATGATTTTCGTCTTTCTAATCAAATGGTCGTAAAAGCTTACGTTCCATCCAATATTTCACCTATATTCAGTTTTAGTCGATTAAATGTGGCAAAAAATTCTTCAGAATTGATCAGAAGTCAATAGCTCGAACAAACACACAAACAGACATTTTTCTCTCTATATATATGTACCAGCTTTTGTCAAAAATAAATAGATTGGTGAAGAATCATTAAATGTAGTCGTAGCTTAAATTATCAGACGATAAGTTTAAAAAACAGGATCCATTTATTATTATTCAGGAGAAATAGCAGTTACAAAAATCAGATATCCGGAGTAAATAAAAAGAATTACTAATAACATTTTGTATAAAGTTTACTGCATCGCGACATTTTAGAAAAAGCCCCGATATTCCTTTTGCGAGTCTTTTTATAGCCTCTGGAAAGGCGGAGCTTCCAAGAAATGACGTCAGTCTCGTCAGCTAATCCAGTTCGCTTTAAATATCTAGAGAACATTCTATAACTGTACGTGTAGGAAAGGCGGGAAAAACAACTTGACTACGGGGCTGTGGATTTAATTCTACGTACTTTCAAATAAGAGAACGTCGCCATTAAAAATGTAAAGAACATACAGTTAGAATTTTAAGTATATTCTTGACTATGGAATTTTATTATTACATATATATATATATATATATTTTGTAGAATTTTACAAATTAACTAACTCTACGATTTGAAAGCGAGCAGTGGCAACACGAAATAAAGCAGATTTTTATCTCCAGCGTGCGGGACTGTTGCCACTCGGAAAAATGAGGGCGAAAATTAGTGTTTTCAGAGTTTTTAATTAACATCTCGGCTGATTAAAGTCATACGATGATGGAAATAGTCGAAATGGCTTCCCAAGTATTTTTCGACTCGGGAATAATGTATTTAATGTTTGGCAATGCTTTATGTTTTTCATTGTAAAACTTAGAATTTTTTTAGTAACAAATTGTACAAATATCTCTGATTTTAGTTAATTTTTGTTTTGGAAAAAGTGGATGTCGATCTTTTACAGGACCCAGAAAAGAATTGTAGAAAGTTTGGTGACGATGGCTATAGTAGTTAGCGACTGAGTTATTTAGCGAACAAACACATACATACAGATTTTTTCCTTTGTATACAGAGAGAGATGACAGTTTCTTGCCAAATTAGAGAGATAGATATTTTCTTCAATGTTGAATAAACTTGCCGCTGTAATCTTTCTTTCCATCAAAGCCTCGACGCTTACAAGCATTTAATGTTCTTTATACAAAATATACAACAATTTCACGTTTCACCCTATATATAGGTACATCTATGACCTTGCAAGGAGAAGCAATACTTGAGATAATGGTATTGACTTAAAATTTTACTTAACTTGAAATTCTATCACCAGGATATCTGCCATTATTTTCATCCTCGCCTATTAGTCATTTCATCTCATTAATGTGCTTCTAATTATTTCATTAAGAATAAATTTAGGTTACTTGAAACGGACTTTGCATACTATATATACTTCGTAAGTAATTGCATTTTCGTAAGATATGTAACATTTTGTTATTTTCGAAGCTACAGAGATATTTTACATTCAATTTTTAAAACCAAGAAATGTTAATAATTTATATTATTGTTTAAGTTGGTTTACTCAGACTATGTTTAAAGATAATGACTTAGTGCAAGACAGAAGCTAAATACGATTACTTAATTAACAGGGAAGAACTATGCTAACTTCTGTTTTCCACTGTATAAGTTTAGCTTAATTTTATCGATTACTTCGATAAAATTCCTTTATCACTTATTAAAATTTCAGAATAATTTTCCTGTATTTAGACATACATGTGATTCTTTAAGGTCTTTAGACTCATATATATATATATATTATCTTTTATCTTCAGCTCTTAAAGGAAATTGTTAAGATAGAAGGTCGCTGACATATTTTTAAGAACAAGTTTCGCTTCAGACGTTATCAGGAAACGTTAGCAAAAGCTTCCTATAAACTCAACTGTAACCGCTTCATCCGGTACAGTGGTAATGAATGATCTCACCTGCATCATTTCCGCTGCTTGCAGCAGTTTACTTCTAAAGTGGATGGCGGAAGAACTGGGCGTCTTTTCCATCTCCATGCGAAGAGCTTTAGCATCTTCCCATGTACAAGCCACCTAAAAAGGCAAATAGCAACGGAATAAACTCAGATTAAAGTAAAAAATATCATCGTCGAATTAAATCACATGAAATAGAAGATAAAGACTTCCAAAAGTTTGCGGGAGAATTTTAGAAAGAGTTTCTGTTACTAAAGGACAATTTTAACTGATTCATTTGAGTCCATGCAGGCTACGTGTCATTATCCAGAGGAGTAACTACCATTCAGATTGTGACCATCTTAAGAGATTGGTCCAGCTTCAGTTTGCTAAAATAGCTATGAGAGTTTAATTTGAATACTTTAGTTCGTTTGATTTAAGCTGAAGGCTATGAAATGACTATGGCTATAGACAAATCAGTGCGAAGCTGAAGGCGAACGATGTCTAGTGTATCAACTGTACAAATATGGAACACTTAAATTGTCATGCTACAATTTTTCGTCATGGAAGAAATAACAAAATAAAATGGTGACATAGGAATTGGATGAATCATTGCTAGCCTTTTTGTGAGGTATTAAACTCAATTTGATTTCTAAGTCTAAATATTAAGCTAATCTTTTTAGACTCACACGAATTATCGTCCCATCTTTATATTCAAATCTACAATGTTAAAGTTATTTTAGCATGCTAGAATTCAAGAAACATTAAAAATCGAAATGTAACTAAAAACAATAAACTGAAATATTTATTATCACTTCAGTTTGAAGTAACAGGAAAGTAAAAGCGGTAAATATCTTTCGTTTCTTTTGGGTAGGAGAGACAGCAAAGATTGAGATTATCCACAAAGTTTAACAGTTTGGCTTTGTTAATCCACGAGAATTAATTTCAATCAAAGAAAAATTCACCAACTCGAAGAACAGTGTTAAAAGCAGCAATGGAAGATTTTAGTTGGGAAAGGTGTTTTTGCCAGTCCTCGCTCCTTATTAAAATCTCACCGATTCCATAAGCCACAGTGCCATCAACCAGTAGACCAGCATCAAGACAAAACAAGCACGTCAAAATCCACTGCTAATTCCCTGGAAAAATAAATTAACCAGAAACACGTATCAAGGCCATATATCCCTACTAAATCTTTAAATGTATCAATCGCGTAGTTTTCGCTTTTGAACTTTTAAAAAATGGAGGTAAAAGATAGTGAAGAATAAAGGTTATCAAATGGAATATTTAAAACTCAAAAGTTTTAGGTAAAATATTTATGTAAATACAACAAAAACCGTCTAAAAATGTACAAACAGCCTTAGCATTACTTAACAAATATCCAATATTTTAATTCCCATCATCTTACAAATATTTAATATTTTAAATCTTATCGTTTAAATTTTAAAAAAGAAAATGTTATCCATTAAAATTTTCCGTTTTATGAATTACGTTAATAACAAATCCGAATGAGATTTGTTATTAACGTATCCGTTAGTTTAATTTCTTTCTGGGAATCAATTATGTGAAACATTATAATGAGAAATTTTAAAAAAATGCCTATTTAAGGGAAAAGTGGTAAATGTAGTATGCCTTGGAAAGAATGCGTTAAGCCTTTTGTTTACTTCTATCCTTCATAATGAATTATCTTTTCATTAATACTATTTAAGATAATTTGTTTGCATATTTTGACAGACCCAAATTTTATTTTCCGATTTGTCTAAAATCCATTGGGAAATAGGCAACAAAAGGTGATAAAACTCCTACTCTAATGTCTGAAATTCATATATGCTTGCATGATATATTTTTTCCTAAATTTAAACTAATAAGAATGCTTCGAGATGTCTGCTACATAAAATTATTCATGTGAAATATTTTATTTTTCGGCAGTCTTTCAAACAGGTCCACCAGTCATGAAAATAATAACTTGAGAATAGATTATATTCTGTTTGTACAATTTTCTTAATGAATGTTCTGCGACATTTTGCAAATCCGAAAGTAATTTTGGAAGTTATGAGAAAAATAAAATATAAAACTGGAAAGTTTACATCTTTGTTACAGTAATTCTAATGAAATCATTAGAGATTTTTTTGATGTTGATCAATGATTATTAGGTGATAAACCTTTAAATATCCCACAAGAATAGAAATGCTGCTATACTGGAAAGAAAGGAATGCAATTTACAGTGCTACCAAAACTTGTAAACACAAAAAGTGGTAGTAGCAAAACTTACAGAACACTGGATGCTCAACCATCCTTTTGAAATTGTTGCCTTTGGGTTTTTTTGTATAAGCATTCTACGTTAAATCCTTTATATAATTTAGACATTAGTTACCTAATTTTCAACATCGGACTGTGTAGTTTGTGATAACTGCAGTTTGTGCGTAGAGGAAACCTAATATGAAAAGGTTGTAGGGACTGTGCTTGTAACTACGTGTAACTTGGGGCAAATACTTGAACAGATATATCAGCGACTTATCGATTATATCGACTGTCCCCGACTTAAAATGAAATAGGACTTAAGAAGGCTGAAAAAGATCTTTTTTTTTTTTTTTTTTTGAAACAGAAAGAACTTGTTGTGCTTACGAAACAGTCAGCATTTATGGCGTAACTCAGAAGTAGTGAATTCAAATTAAAATTAAGATAAATCTTAAATTAGCCAAGGGCTACGCTGAACTGATAAATGCGTAAATTGGCTCAAACTTATACCGGCGTGAAAAGCTCTGTTGACAAGAGTAACACTACCAGCAGCTAGCAACGTAACCAACAGCAGGCGGAACATGTTCTGATTAAATCTTATTTATTATATGCGGCTTAAGTGGCTGTTTGTCGCCGATAGTTTATTGGTTGCTTGCGTAACTGTACTAGCCAATGGGGTGAAGTTGCCACGGCATTCAAATAGTCCATATACATTGATACCATACATGCAGTCATCACTGTTTTAATTAAATTATCATTGTATTTAAGAACATTTAAATATTTTTAATTCATACAATTATTGCTTATTATGCATTTAACTATATTTGCATATGAATTACCTAGAAACTTGCAAACATTGAGAAATTAAAGGAGACGAAATCAACTAATGAGCTGTGCGTAGTACATCTCATCAGGTAGGTTTACTTAAGCTCCTATGCTAAATATACTTTCGCGTAAAGAGTTTAAAATTTCGCCCGATTTTATTCGGACATTGCATTTGAAACTGAGTTTTCAGCTGAATGCAAATTGAGCGAGTCAGAGGGAACGTGAACATTTGTTTGCATTAGCAAGCATCTGTTTGTAATCAATTTATAATCATCAATTTATAATATCTAGAACAGCGGGCATTTCGTATGACCGTCGGGCTTTCTAGTAATGTATAACCTTCCTTTAAATGCATTTTTTCCTACCTCATTTGAATACGCGCGAACTAAAATTTAGCATTCTGGCAGGGAAATGGAAAAGGAGAATAATAGTAAAATTACTTATGATAAAATAACTAGTTAGGTAAAATAAATAACTCCTTATAAAGTAATTAAAATTCATAAACTGTGGAAATTTTTTCCTGGACTGAACGGAAATCAGCGTTACCTTCATTAACCAGTGAAAGTCGTTGTTTAAACAGCTTGGACAAGTTTCATCTACTTCCATCACTGGTAACGTATCTTCCGTTGTTACCAATACCCTGTGGTCCGTGTACATAAGGCAGGCAAGATATACCCCTCTGGAAAAAAAATGTGGGAATAATTATTTGAATTATATCATTTCATAACAGGACTTATGTAATATAATGTACAAGAAATTCGAGTGAAAGAAAGCGTACAGATTTAGAAGGACATTATGTAATAAATATTTGTATTATCAAAATCCATTCTGCAATATTTTATTGTAAAACATTCCTAACAGCACATAAATAAAACTTAAAAATACTTCAAAATCTGAAAAACACTGTTAAGAAAAAACCGCTTCTTTGGACGTAATTTAAAATCTGAATCCAAAGAAGCGTTTTTGGTGAATCTTCGGATTATGGCAACTTGGCGATTTTTTGGCGAAAATTTGGCGACTAACCCTGCTACAGCAACCTGCTAGTTTTTTTTGGACGCCATTTTGTTGTCATTTTTTAAGGTAAATGTTTTTTTATAAGTAAAAGCATTTTTTTTTACTCAACACTTTTTCCAACAATCTGCTAGGCGAATTACGCTTATGCTAGAACGTTTATGGAACAAAAGTGCTTAATCATGACGAAGATTAGGTGCGAAATTGTTTTTACGTGCTTATTAGTTAAAATCACCATTGGAATTTTCCGGAAGATGTCACGTGACATGTCTCATGATCTCTCATTTCTCTGAGACAAAATAATCTGTGATTGGAACTGTGTACTTCTCAGATTATTGCTAAAGTCCTAGCTAGTAACCTTTATCGCCTTACTAAAATGTCGCCAAACTACCTGTTACCATATTCCAAAGATTAGCGGCGTTTTTTTAACACTTTATGTGTTACATTTACTTATTAAAAACCATGTTCTTTGCACTTTCTAAAATTCAGTTCAACAGCAATATCGCAAAATAGTTTAGTTTTAAACTGAGCATATCTTTAGAATTTCCGATACAGAGACTCGTTCGCTGGAGATAAAAAGGTTTTTTCTATACAACGTTGCCATGGCTCGCTTTGAAATTCTTGAGTTTGTTAATCAAAAATTCGTTAAAGTTTTACAAAATATGAAATCGATAATAAAAACAAATTCCAAATTTCAAATTTGGGCTTCCACATGCCCATATTCGCAGTAGGATTACGTCATTCAAAATTCGATGGCTCTAGGTACCGTTGGTTTATCAAAATGCAAGACATTTCATTATTTAATTTCTTCAAATATAATGATTTTTAATTATTTAATTTCTTCAAACATAATGATTTTTCATTATTTAATTTCTTCAAATATAATGCAGGACTCTAACATTTGGTGGCAACAGTTTGAAAACTGAAACGGACATTTATAGTGAACCAACGCAATATCGCAAAACGAAAACAATAGTCCTTTGAACTAATAAAAAGCAGCTAAAATTATCCTGCTGCTAAATGATGTTCTGAGAAAGGAACATAAAATAAAAATAAAAAATAAAAAAAGGGCAGAATATATGTTTAAACTCTCTGGCTTTCATTTGCGTGCAAAATAATTATTGTAAATTTTGATCATACAGCCGAGATAAGGTTCAGCTGCGCAAGAATCTTTCAAAATCTAAAGCCGATATTACTAATCACAGCACTGTACTCGAGCTTGTGGATTCGGATGCCTTCGATGAAGATTTTTTAAAGGAAAGTAGCTCGTATGTGCTGCCGAAAGCTGAACCCGAGATAAATACAAGCATTTTCACTTAAAGAGAAGTTGACACTTTCCGAAATAGCGAAACTATGCTTTCGCCGGGACTCAAACCATTGATCTTTCATTTGCTTATCTGAATGAGCTAAACACTAACTTCAAGACAGCATGTAAGGGGAATACGATAGTTCCTTACAAAGTGATCTCAGCACATTTGCAAATTTTATATAGTAATCTTACATATTCTACCTCGGATGCGCCTTTTGATGAAGTTCATATATTCTATCTGAAATCATCGCGTAGCAACTTTTTTTAAAGAATTCCTTTATAAATAGAATTCGTTTCAGCAAAGAAATACACTATTTATCGCATTTATGTTTATTTAATAAAAAATCTGATTTGGATACCACATGACTTACTTGTACGGCCTATTAAATTATACACATTTTTAGCTGCACTTCATTTAAACTTATTTCCTCGAATTATTCTAACTTAATAAACCAATCTTTCAAGACAAGTTGAAAACGACATCAAAAACTGTAAATAATGAAATTAAATATTTCAGACAATTTTTGTCGTGCGGCTGTCTAACTTCTTATAACTTTACTTTTTCATAATGAATACAAAAATTTCCAAATATAAGTATAGGAACAAGGAGATCGCATTAAAAGTTAGAATTTGTTATTTTCGAATTTTTTTTTTTAAAATTTACATTGCCAAAAACATGGGTATTTACGCCATTTAAAACGCTTTTATGATTAGAAGTATATAACTACAGCCAACAATTGCAAAAATAAAGACCGGTAAGGACTTCTAAGAGGCTAAGAGGATTACATATAATAGATATATATATATATATGATGTACCAGCTTATCGTAACTTAAATTATCAGACGATAAGTTTAAAAAAAAACAGGATCCATTTTTATTATTCAGTAGAAATAGCAGATACAAATCAGATATCCGGTAATAAGAAGAATTACTAATAATTTTTTTATGAAGTTTCTGATCGTGACATTTAAGAAAAAAGGCCCCTATTCCTTGGCGAGTCCTTTTATAGCCTCTGGAAAGGCGGAGCTTCCAAGAATGGCGTCAGCCAATCATTCGCTTTAAATTTTCAGAATTTCTACCTTGTACGGGAGAACCAAAAAACAAATTGAGAAGGGGATGTTAAAACATCCCTTGAATTCGTTAAGTGCATTCTTGACTAGTGGAATATTATATATTTATAAGAAATTGAATTTAATTAAAAAATTAAATTAATATTTTAATTATATTAATAACCTCTTTAGTTAAGTTTTGATATACCATTTGAAATCAGTTTTAAATTATATTTTCTTTCATTAATTTAATTTTATTTACTTCTAAAGGAATTTTGAGAAATTTTGGGAATTTTTGAGTTTTTTAAAGTTTCATTTCAACAAATTTTGGAAATTTTACTTTAAAACTTTAATATTAAAACATTTCAGTTTTTCTTATTACTTTATTTTTTTGCAATTTTCACACAAAATATCTTCACTTAATTTTTTTAAACAATTCCACAATTTTCAACAGAACACACATTTCAAATTTTTTTTTTTTCCCTACCACTACACTTTAATTTCCTTCAAGCAAACTTACATCTTGATTGGCTCAGTTACTTAACTCCCTAAATAATTGATATACTACCTTTAGGATTTAATTTAATTTAATTAATTTTTAATATTAATGTTTACAAAAATTTTTTTACTATAAAAAAGATAGCGCTTGACTCAATTTACCTACCTAAGCGCCATCTATAATTTGAAGAACACCACTTACTTCTCTTTACAAACTTTGCAGACCCCCACTCATATAGTAGGTAAGTTAGAATAAACTTCTATTTACTTGCTTTAAGTATTTTTTTTAAAATTTTATGTAGTATCTCAGTATTTTCTAAATATGAAATATATTTTTAAATAAATATATTTTTTAAAAATTGTGAATTAGTCTTTTTGTTTCTTATTGTTTATATGATTATGTATAGTTCTTTTATAGTTTCTTTTATTGAATAGATTCGTGTAGGGAAGTTTCTGTAGACAGGATTTCTAAATAGATTGGTTTCTAGATTTTTTTATTATTTTATAAAAAATAATTTTAAAAAAATTTAATTTTTAAAAAAGTTTAATTCTTGACTTAACTGCTTTGTTTTCCAAAGACCTTTCCTTTTGAACTTTAATTCTTAAATGTTAATACTTATGTTAATTCTAAGGTATCATTTTTAATTACTTTGTTTTGACTTTACCTGCCTGCCTGAAACAACACGAATTGATGATTGGAGAGTTAGGTTGGAGCAACTTCCCCTTGATAAGTCTGTCTCTTGCCTACTCATGTCATTCACATATCTTTAAAAAAAAAATATTTAATTTAATTTATTAAATTAGTAGATTTATTTTCATGGATATTTTGCACTTGATTTGCTTATGCTTCTGATTTAAATGATCTTGTAGATTAGTTCGAATTAAATCTTTTACATGTTTGCACATTTTTAAAATTATTTTAAATTATTTTGGCTTTTTCCATTTTTTAGAATTTAAATTTTTTTTACTTTTATACGTATTTGTTAAGAATTTAAATTTTTTTAAATTTGAATTTTATTATTACATATATATGTATTAATATATAAATATATTGGTAAGAGGGTAAGCCGGTATATAAGGAGGGTAAGAGGGTGTATGTATATACAGATACACAGACATTTGGTGCTGTTGATTGCATGATTACAATACAAGAGGGAAGTGCACAACTAGGCGTTATAGTACTCCCATATACAAAATTTTAACGACTAATTGTTTTTGAGCTATGTGAGATACATGCTTACATACGTGCAGACGTCACGAAAAAATTCATTTTACAATCCGTTTTGGAAGAAAGCGTCCTGTATTCTGTCTGTACATAACGAAAAAAACAAAGCATCCAAATGGATTTGGGAAAGTTCAGAACGGATATTTCCATTGAAATATGATACCCGAAAATTTTCGCGATAAGAATACTTTCTTTATTTCAAGAAAATAAAACGTATGTATTTATAAAAAACATCCAAATTCATACTAAATTTTAATAATTTCAAGAAAGGAGATTTATATACTTAAACATGCGTTATTTTCTTTCGGCAACATTTCTTCCTTGCAGACAAAATATATTTGGTAGTGGTATGCGTTAACGAGTCTAAAATCCTCATTTCCTCTAAGTAGCTTGCATTAATTAGAGTTAGTAAACACGAAACATCAGAAAAGATCCGTCTGATAATTAAGATAATTGCTACAGCTCTACGTTAAGTATCTCAAGAGGATAAATCAACTAATCTGGATAAACTGTCCAATTTTCTCTACGTATCCCTAAAAAAAGACTCAAGAGATCTTCAATCAAGGATCAGTTATAAACGTTTATTTTTAGATGCTTACTCCTGCGTGCGGGTTTGTGGATACTCGCAGTAGTAACATGGAGGTAGGAAAGGGAGGAGGGGCCATTCCGCGCTAGAAGTGAAGCACTGCTTTGAAGCTTGGGTCACCAGACGGGGTGTTCTTTGTTTACATTCAGAAGCTCACTTGACAAGATTCTGATAGTATTTCGACACGCGACAGTTCCATAGAAATCGAAAAAGGGACACTCTCGCATGAAAGAAACATTCATAGTGTAATGTATAATAGCAATTTGTATAGTTTACTGACATTTACGCAAAAATCACATCTTGGTTATTTTTCGATAACTAACAACAGCGATTTTGATTATGAATTTGTTTTATAAAATTCTAAGCTGTTGCACTACAAAAAATATAGATTTTAAAAAAAATTGCTAAAAGAGATCTGCCAAAATTTATTTTCTAGAAGATTTGAAAAGTTTGAAACTTGATGGCTAAATGTAAATATAAAATTATGTATGTTAAAATATTTGTAATTAGGCACATAGGTCAGATTAAGTTTTTATTAAATAGAGTAACGCATGCAAGGGCTATCTGCCTAAAGAGAGAGATGCCATCGTGGAGGAATTTTGAAGAAAAACTGACCTTTGAGTGGGTATTAAAAATAATACTTATAATTTTCATTCAAATTATATTCATATATATTTTTTATGTAAAACTTTCGGGTGTATGCTAAATTAGTGTAAATTACTTTACACGAAAAATATAGTGAATGCACAGAAATTAAAGATTTGCACATGCCGGAAATGATAAATAGGAAATATGTATGGGTATTTATGCATGTGCTTGCAAAAAGCATGTATCTGCCTTTGACAAAATACTTAAATATTCATTAAATTATTTATAAATGTATTTGAAATGAAGAATTTATTCACTTATAAACAACTGTGAAAGTACTGTGAAGAAATCTAATGATTAAATGTATCTAATTTATAATGATTATAAATGTTATCTAAATATATAATAACCTTAATATTGAATTGTAAACATAAATTGAAATCCTGTTGACAAATACGTTATAAAACTATTTAAGCAAGAATTGTTCGTATTGGAAAGCAATCTGTTAAAAGGTATTGTAAAGCAAATGCTATGAGATGCGCACTTAAGAACGTAATAAAGAGTTTTGGAATATGTATTGTTGAAATGAAGGGTAAAAAAAAAAAAATCTGATAAGTATAATTAAAAGAATTATTCCCTTTACATTTTATAATAACTCAGTTACAAGTTTTAAATAATACTTAAAAAAAAAAAAAAAAAAAAAAAAAAAAAAAAAACTTATTTTATTCCCTTTCAGAAATGTTCAGAGAAAGTCAAATACTATTTAATACCTATTTAAAATTAGGAATTAGCGAAATATTTTAATAATTCTCTAATTTAAAATGAACCGAATAGAGCATTAATTATAAATTGACTTACATTTTTCGATTTAAAAGAAGCCAAAAAATCATGTCATATTTAAGAAAGTATTTTAGGAAGAAGCTCTATAAATAGAAAAGAAATAATGCATAATTTTAATATTAATAATACAATAAACTTTGATCTTAATTTTTGTACCTTAACCGAATAAAATCAAATTACCTTAATTTTTTTTTCTAATGTAATTAACGAAAACTTGTGAAAATATTTCATTCAAATTAAACCATTCTGAGAAAACTGTCTTGTGAAAAGTATAGCATTTAATTCCGTTCAGAATGAAATGTTATTTAAAAATATGTTGTTTTCACATACTTAGGACTCTGAAGTGTTGTAGAAAAAGAAAATATATACATTTATATGTATATTTGCGACGTAATTACAAAATATTTACACCCGAACGCGTCAAATCCCATAGAACTCAATGGTAAATGACCCAATGTTTTGGTCACCACGTAGGGATCGCCGGTGCTTCAGAGCAGGGTACGGAGAAACTTCTTTAGGGCGACTCCATCTTACTTCCTACCTCCATGAGTAGTAACTATCTATAAATTAGCCAAGGTTTTGAAAATATATCTTAAAGAAAATATTATAAATGATATACGAAGAACACCAATGCTTCTCCAAATGTCCATAAATGTTTTATATTGCATCATTTAGACATAATTAAAAATAATTCGGTACATCAGGTTATAATAACCTATATTAAAATGTTTTCAACTAATGAGCGGTATGTTTCTGAAGTCTTCATTTTACTGTTTTCACACTGAGATTGAAGTTTCCTTTTGTCGAACTGAGGATTCAAGAAACTTCAGTTAATGAATAGGTAAAGCTGCCTTTACGTCAAGGTCTCTTTAGGATTCAGAGTGTTGGCGCATAGCGATGTCTCTTAGCGATTAGAATATGTTATTAAGCAAGTTCTGATATAATTTTTATCCTCCTATCAAGCAATTCTGAAAATTCACTTAAGCATTCTGTCGCTTTTTGACTTGGACCAAAGAACGTTGAATTTCCATCTAAAAACAACAGCGAGTTTAATTTGTCTAAAAGAGGCTTACGTAAAGTAAATCCTTCTAAAACCTCATTATTAATAGTAATGAAATATAGACATACACTTTTGATGCAGAAAGCTTCTGTATAATCAAATGAATGGTGCCCGGTAACTGGAGCAAGATAAAACGTCGAACAAATATCAAAGCAATGTTGTCTGTTTCCTTGGATTGGCATTACATTATACATTATGAATTTTGAATAATTGGCACAATTGATAACAAAGCATGTATTCAGCATGTTTTGAGTTGTTTGCTTAAATCGACTTGAATTGAAGAAAGCGACTTGACTTGTAGCAAAATAACTCATAGATTTTGGACCGAAATAAGACACCTCCTTATAATACTCTTGACTTCGATAAATGTTTGAATCACCAAATGCAGCTAAGAAACTTCCACATTAATTTGATATGTTACCACACAACTCCATAATTAAAGCTCTCGCTTCGTTGCCACCATTTTGAGATTGCTGATACATTAAAAAAATTTACCAAGAGTTCATTGAAATGCAATTAAAGAAAATTAATTGGAGGTTCTGAATAAGATTTACATAAATAGTTTTGAAATACGTTTCGAATATTAGGAATAGTTTTAGTATACGAACACTGAAGTTAGAAGGGATATAATATGTAATGAAAAATGCATTTAAAATGTAGTGTTTTATGAAATTATTCCTAATACGACTTGATAACAAAACTATGAATACTGGAAAGCCAAAGTTCCAGCTTTTGATAAATACCAGTCTGTTCGCACATTTTTTAGACGATTTTAATAAGCGGTAATAAAAAATCGTTTGCTGCAAAAGAAGTAATCGCAATTGTACTATGTTTTTAAAAGTCAAAATTATCGTCTGGGACTTGAAAGTTTTGTTTTTATTCAAAATGGCGAATTTAACAAAGCAGTGGTTCGAAGGCTACATTTACGCTCTTTCCGAAGAGAAATATGCATACTCCGTTATCCAAAAACGATGTGAGAGTCATGGTTTTGTGATATCTAAAGCGTCGATAGGTAATATCATCAACAAGAAAGGAAACAAACGTCAAATTGGAGCCTCAAGTGGGGCAAAAATTTGAAACAAGTATCCAAGGAATAAAAAGGACATCTTCGACTATTGCAAAGGCACGTTGTTTAATGTTAAAAGAAAATCCCCCTAGTCAAAGGACAGTTGAAAAATCGTTAAAATGCTCGGTGTACACTGTAAACAAAATGATAAACGTTGATTTAAATCTTAAGAAAGCGAAAAAACGCAATGTGCATCGTCTTGAAGCATATCGCTCAACGTAGGACACGCTGCAGAATTCCATATGAGAAACACTTATCCAAAGAAAAATGGAAAACAATTGTCACAATAGATGAAGCATGGGTGTATTTAAATGATTTTAACAAAAAAAGAGCCATTTATTATCATGAAAGGGGAGAAAAAAAATGTAAGTACGTGGTTCAAAGAATCGAAGAAAGTTTTTCTAAGGGATTCATGATTGTTGCTGGTTTTTCTTATAATGGCAAGTTAAAAATAAAAAGAGTTCAAACAAATGTCAAGATTAACTCCAAATACTATCAGGAACATATTTTATTGCCAATTTTTCTGAATGAAATAACATCGCTTTACCCACAGTGCAATCAATCTGCGAGACTCCATCAGGACAAAGCTAGCAGTCACACATCAAAATCCACTGTAAATTTCCTAAAAGAAATGGAACAAAAAACTGGTATCAAGGCCATAACCCTTCACTGATATCCCTACTAAATCTTCCGATGTGTCTTCTATGGATTTTTGTGCTTTCGGACTTTTAAAAACTGCATTATGCAAACGTTGTCCCAAAACCCTAACAGGACTCTGGAAAGCTGTTCGAAAGGAATGGGATACAATACCTCTTCTGGTATTCTTACTTCAAAAGATTATATTTACTTACTTATTCCACTTCAAAAGGCATTATTATTCTGGAAAATGCGGTGTCGAAAGATAGTTCAGAATAAGGGATGTCAAATAAAACATTTAAAACACAAGAATTTTATGTAATTTAGCTTTGTGAATACAATATACATCGTCTAAAAATGTGTGAACAGCCTTGGATATGAACAGATAGATAAAATGTAATTTATATAAACCTTTAGGTAATACATGTGTAATTGAGTAACCAAATATTTAAAAAGGAAAACAAAAAACTCATTCCCAGTATTAAGATAGTTGCAAAGAATTTTATCCTATTCTGAGAAACGGTTTCTGCACACAGTAAGTTATTTTACTGTACACATATTTAAAAGTATGACTGTGACTATATTATGAATAGTAATTATTTTTTTAATAATCTAGCTATAATGTTCAGAAATTACATTTACCTTTTCATAGTTTTCTGGAACTTAGGAGTAGGAGTAAAAAGATTTTTGATACTCTTCCTAACTTGTCTCCGTTGCTGTTGAGGTGTTTCTAGCGTGTGAGTGAAAACAAGATCTGAAATGAAAAATAATTGAGAATATTAAAACCTTAGATATATAACCAGAAAGGAAAAATGCTTTTAATGCTCAATCAATTTTAAGAGCTCAAGTAAAACCAACCAATTCAAGAAGGATCTCTTGTCATTTAAAAGCCGAGAAGATAAGTATTAGTCATCAGTACAAGAATGGATCCTCTGTACTGTAATTCAAATGCATTCTAAGAGAAATTTGAGGCATACTTAAAATGAACAAGATTAGAGGCCCTGATGCGACAATTTATAAAAATACATTGTTAGATCAAGTTAAGAAAGCTTATATATAGCATTATTCTATAGGTATTTTGACACAAAAATCGGACTTTTCTGAAATGACATGCCATTTTTACTTCCTTGTACGAAGTAAAAAGGAAGTATTGTAATTGCGAAAAGTTTCAGGCAGCATATTTCAACAAAAAGACCGCTATCGAATGCAATTTAACGAAGTTTTTGCGTGATATCTGTACGTAAGGACAGAATAAAAGCCTCGTTTCCTCCAAAAAAATTATAAAACTGCTTTAATATTAATTCCGAAGAGAATTTTTCGTGGCTTCTGTACGAACGTATGTACGTACGTGCGTACGTATGTAGGTACGTATCTCGCATAACTCAAAAACGAGTAGCCTCAGAACGTTGAAATTTTGTGTATAGAACTGCTATAACACGTAGATGTGCACTTAGTATTTTGGTTGCAATCGGCCGCACCAAACGTATACAAATATATTTATATATATATATCCACTCTGTTACCCGGCTCAGAATCTGAGTTTTACTCGTATATGTTTGTAAATTGTACATTTTTGCTTTAAAAATGACTGAAAAATTGTTTTTATCTTCCGGTTAAGTATTTATGCCTTTAGTAAATCTGTGTGCAATATTTTTAGAATTATCAACAATTTTAAAGTTGTTTAAGTGCCGCTAAGCCTTTTTTTTACGGCGGCCATTGATTTTTTACATTTGAAACAGCAGACTAGTGGATTTGTTGCCAATTTAGAGAAACTTAGCTTCGCAACAACAAAGATAACGCCTTCATTTATTATTGCAATTAAATCATGCTTAATCCTTTCTGGAATTTTTTCGAGGAAATAAGTGCTGAAAATTTACTTCGTAGTTTTTAATATAGCTATTTTGAGTTTTTATGTATTTTTGCCTTCTGGCGAAGTGAGACCTGAGTTGATTGAATGAGAAATACTCAATCGTCTGTGAAAAACTGTTTCTTTTTTGTTTTGTTTGCTTAATTTCGTTTCTAGCTTTATTATAGTATTTGAACAGAACATGTGGCAACGATTAGATAATTCTGTTCTTTAAATGATATAAAATTTGTGCATTATGAGTTATGATATGAACGAAATATAATACTGTTAAGTGAATCTAGCGCCAGAGTGTAGCTATAAACAAATATAGTGAATTTTAAAGAATGCATTTATTCTATTGTGGTTTATGCGCTGTCGGCGAAGTAGATTTAATTCAATCCAATAAGTTTAAATGAAATGCAAGAAAAAATACATATAATTTAATATTCCGTACAAGGAAGTCATGCGGTGTACACATCAGATATTTTATTGTACACGAGAGAAAAAGAGTCATCGTTCATATTTTCAAATAATTTTAACAAAAGTGCGTAAGCCACATTTGGCGTTATTATCGCTTATAACATATATACCAAATTTCAAAACGCGCCAATATGTAGATTTATGTATATCTTAGAAAATTTAGAATAAAAATCTCTAATTATTTGCAGGTGTGCCTAGAAATACATCTACTTTAAGATGATGTTAAAAATTTTATATTTTGTAATATAAAATTGTTTTGTAAAAATTAAAAAAATATTTAAATACAAATTTTAAAAATAAATCAATAAAAAATGGACGAATTATATTTGGATTTAGCCTAAATTTTGAATTCTGGAAGAAAGGAATCAAGTAAGTTTAATAACAAAAGAGATATTAATAAATATATATCAAATTAAATTAACATTGAGGAGCTAAAATTTTGTGAGTTAATTTTTTTAAAACCTACTCGTGGGGTTTTTAGAAAATTTGGCAGTTTGGCATAATTTGAGTCGTAGAATCGAAATGTGGAAAAAATTGTCATGTCATTTCAGAAGAAATCCGATTTTGTGTAAAAATACCTCTTTTAGAACAATGCTATGTATAAATCTAATATATATCCTACGTCGAGCTTTCGAGACGTGAAAAATTCAGTTTGAATTTCATCAATCGGCGCAGTAGAACGGGAGGTATAAAACTGGCCTCTCTTTTTTCATTTATTTATTTATTTATTTTTAAGCTGTGTATATATATATGAGCCGCTCAACCGGGATAACGGTTAGCGATTCTGACTGCCGTACCCGAGGTCCCAGGTTCGAATCCCGTAGAAGGATGTATAATGGATGTTTGTAAATGTTAAGTGCTTTTGCGGCATGGGAGCACTTTAAATATGGGGCGAACGGAAAGTCCTCTGGAGAGGTTGGGGGTAGGGGAATAGATGTGGAAGACCCTCATATCTGTCCCCCCTCCCCCCGGAAGTGCTCTCCTTCAGAATTGGGGGCGGGCGGAGCTGAGTAAAGACGTACTGTCACATGTATGGTGCTCAAGACGTTTGCCAACGACAGTTGAAATCTCGCCTTCTTGCCACGAAGAATTTCATGGGCTTGTTCTGATATCACACACAGCGAGATTACTTACAATAACAACAATAACTAATTATGATACATACTATAAACGAGAAAACCCGTATCTGTAATACAGCTGAGGTGCTAGACCATAAGAGTAACATATCACACATTTTAAAAATATCCTCAGTAACAGCCTTCTGTTTCATTGTGGCATATTTGTTGCAAGCGATAATAACGCCAAATGTGGTTTATGCACTATGTTAAAATTATTTGAAATAATAAACGATGACTTTTTTTCCCCGCTCGTTTACAATAAAAAAAAAAAAAAAAAAAAAAGGAAAAGAAAATAGGTTGCTCTAAATTAAGAAGTTCGCCAAATCATTATTTAATTCGATTATTCTTGGCGGAAACTGATAAAAAATGCGCCAAAATACATTTTTTTATTTCTCCGTAAATTTCGCCCCAAATTTTACAAAATTTAATATTTAGGCATAATATGAGTCGTAGAATTGACATACGGAGAAAAAAATTGGCATGTCATTTCAGAAAAAATCCGATTTTGTGTCAGAATAGCTGGATTACAGCAATGCTATATATTAATCTAATATATATCCTAAGTCGCGAATTCGAAACATGAAAAATGTAATTTGAATTTCGCCAAGGCAAAGTAGAACGGGAGATAGAGAATTGGTCCTTTTTTGCGCAGGGTACATTAAACAAAAATGTTAGTACGCATAGTGACATCTTTAGTTTAGAACATGCAGTATAAATTGATTGGGGTTCTTTAAAATTAGATAAAAAAGCAACATGAATTGAGCGTAGACTAAGACGTCATGGATTTCGAGGGCGATAAGATATAAGTTCGTTTTCTCCAGAAGTGAAACATGTTTGCAAAATTGAAGGGACGATAGTCGTTTTTATATCAAAAGCAATGGGCAAAGTAAAAACTGACTGCAGTCAAAATCGATTATTTTATTAAACATCTACGCTAAACTGAGGCTGTCTTTTTATTCATTTTAAAATTTTCCGTTGACGATTTGCCTTCCACCTTAATTCCAGTTACAGCAGATATTACTTAAACAGGATTTCGAAAAATAATCACAGAAATTAAACAAATATTTTGCGCGTAATGTCAAAGCACCTTTCAATGCTTTTGACTTCGTACGTCAAGAACTGAGATTGGGACACTAACCTTTGATTTCAGAAGAACATGGAGGTCTGGAAAATATAATTTGATGAAACACGCAATCCAGTTGGCAAAGACGGCCTAATGATCTAGATTTTTTGCCATCCACATCCATCCAACCTACAAGAATTCAGACATATAATGCAGTGCACATAAATAATTTTAAAATAATAAATACAGAAAATGCTCTCTTTAATTAGGAAACTAATTAGCAATTGGCTAAAAAAGGGAATGAACAAATAAAAAGTGGATTAAGGTAAAAATTCGATGAACCTACGAGAAGCGCATAAATTTAAAGCATGTTTTATTAAAGACAAAAATAAAAAATAATTTTTTTAAACTACGCAATTAAGAACAGATAAGGTGCTAATTAAGAGTAAACATTAGAACAAATATAGATATTCAAATATTTAAATTCGCTTCCTGATTAATTTCATTTCTGAACTGTGGACCAATTCATATTCCCTCACCTTAATTCTTAAAGGATTAATTTCAACAGAAACATTTATCATAATCACTCTTGAAAGCACGCAGTTTTAGAAGACTAATGTAAATCTCGAGATTTCACCTGTGTTTGCAGATGTTTTCGAAAGGGAGCTAAATTAAAAGATGAGAAATTATCCAGATCGCTTTTAGTATGTTAATTATTCTGTATATTAAGCTTATAGTAATAAGATAATTGGATTTTCAATGAGGGTTATTTGTTATTTTTATGCAATTAACAGCGATACAGGAATAAATGGTTTACTGATAAATTTCTATCAGCCTTTATTGGTACATTCAGGAAGAAACGTTCTACATAACAAGGTGATTAATCACTGAAAGTAGAATCGATTTCATAATCTATACTTAAATTAATCGATTACTGAGAAACAACATCGCCTGGAAAAAAAAAAAAAAAAAAATGTGAATAATAAGTAGAGTTTGTGAGATAATATTCAAATATTATTTCTTTTATAAAATTGATTTTATGGCTCTTATTATAATTACTCTCATTATTACTTGGATGAAATAAATATTATAGCTGCTAATTTTACAAAGGGGGGAAATGTTACAGGTATGGGAGCATTATTTGTTTTATTTGTCTGAGTTCATCGTGAGTATAATTTCCAGTTACAGTAACAGTTGTCGCAGTCGCTGCGTCTAGCTTGCTAAGTATGCAACCTGTATACCGGCTATCGTAACATAGGCGCTTCTATGAGCGATGCAAGTAAACAAATGCTTGAGCGAGTCTAGAAGACAGGATTGAAAGTTGGTGACTCCTTTGTCACGTGAGGGATGTGAAAAACACATTTTACAGAATTACATAGTACATAAAACATAAAATACATATATTCCTCAGAAAACAGACCACTATTTACATCAGTCCTCCGCAACCTTTTCTCACCTGCGACGTACAAAAAATCTTTCTGGAATTTCGTGGCACACCAAAGAGTTCCGAGTTATCAAGGAAGTGCCGAAAAAAATTCAAATGCTGACACACTTACAATCACACACACAGCCACACAACAGTGAAATATATAAAAACATTTAAAATAGACATTATTAAGGAAAAAAATGTCATTGTGTATTAAATACATGATAAAAAATTGCAAAATGCCAAATACATGTATTTGATTGCGGCACACCTATATCCTACTCATGGCACACCAGTGTGCCGCGGCACACCGGTTGCGGAGCACTGATTTACATAATATTTAAAAGTATATGCCATGCTAAAATAGCAGAAAGTCCTGCAAAAATTAGGAATATAATTAAAGGAAACTTTGTATACAAAACTTTTGAAATTAATGAAGTTAGTGGTAAGTTAAAAATTTCGTTCTAAATCAAACTTTTTTTTCCGCAACTAGAATTTGATATTCATGAAAAATTCTGAACGCACATAGAACTGACTATTAGTGTTTTGGCACTTCTGCATAATGGAGCGTTGGTAAGTTTTTAATTATGTTGCCATATTAGTTTGCAAAATTGTCACAAACAAAATACACAAAAAGTTTTAAAATTTAATCTTTAAATCAGCCTGCACCAAGATAAGATACTTTGATAACGAAATGCGATAATACAGTACATACTTCAGCAAATGCTTCGTTCATTCTAGTAGCACACAAAACACGATTTCAGAAAAAAATTTAGCAGAATTAAACAGTGAGACTTCAGAAAACATGAAAGCAAAAGCTCTGCCAGTTAATGTAAAATGACTCAAAATTTATTTCTAACATTATAGTTAGCATTAATATTTGATGAAAGTTTTTCTGAAAACTTATAGGTTCTTAAAAGTACTTACTGGAAGGAGCCGCACTTGGAGGAGTAGCTGCAGTGTATTGACTATAACCTTTCGAATTACCTGCGGCCACTCGAACATAGTATGGGACACCATGGATAAGGTCTGAGAGAACCATTTCCAGTTTCTGAAGATTCATCATTTCTCTCGAACCAGACAGGGGGTGAAAATCTGGCCTTACGCTCCACTCAACTGCGTAAGAGAATTTCAGAATATCACAGTAGCTTAGAAACTATTAAACTATATTTTCAAAACATTTAAAAAAAGTGTAAAATTTATGTGAAGGATTTTATGAAGTTTGCAAAAAATGCCCTTACGAAATAATTTAGAGAATTAAAATGAATTTTTTGGTTTTCATTCGATTACCTATTAAAAAATCTATCATTCTATAACTTATTAAACGATTTTGTATAAGTTAATCAAAGTTACTATTGAAATCTGTATTTTTATCTTTTTGACAACTTTATGTAAAACAAGGTAACAAGGTACGAAACGCTATTACAATGGAAGCCTGGAATTTTTTAAAAAATTAATAACATCTCCAAATTACGGTGGAACTTTGGTCACAAAATCAATCAAAATAAAATAAAATAAAATAAATAAAAACCGAACAGTTCCATATCTCCCATTCTTCTCTGCGGACTGAAAAGCTCAACTTGCCTTATTCATGACTCGAAAGCCCGATTGAGTATATATATTAGATTTAGATACAGCATTGTTCTAAAATAGCTATTTTGACACAAAATCGGACGTTTCCTGAAATGACTAACCAATTTTTCCATATTTCGATTCTATGACTCAAATTATGCTTAAAACGAAAAATTGTAATATTTTGTATAGTCATTCGGGAAAGTACTTTGGTGTACTTTTTTTTACTTTGTGCCACGAATAACTCATTTGGCGAATTTTTCAGTTTACGGCAACATTTTCCCCTTTCCTTCTGCTTTAGCGTAAAAATGTTTTTCTCTCTTTTGCATATATTTTTATTTCATATTATATTTTTAAATCACAGTTGTTATTCTATGCTATTTCTTTTTCTTTTGAGAATATCATTTCAGTTGCGTTGTTGAATTACAATTCTTCAAATAATTATTTTAAAAATTTATATTTATTCATTCCCAATATATACTCATAACCTATTTTTTTCATATAAATGTTACAAATTTGATTTTACTTATTTGAACATAATTTCGTTCGCATTTATCATGATGCTCTTGAAAATTGCATTCGGCATCAAAAGAGAAAATACTGTAAAACACGGTTAATACGTTTTTCAATAGCCTGTTGAGATACAAATAAGAAAGTTGTATTATCTACATTTTAATTTATAATGAGATGTATAAGAAAACATTTTCGTGGTTTTATTTACTGTGCCATTATTGTTTTACTCAATTTTATCATCATAAATTTTGATTGTAAAAATATGATCCATATTTTTGAATGAATTCAAGTTTAAAATAACTAACTAAATATTTTATTTAGCTTAAAAGTTTAAAATAACTTATAAATAACTAAAGTTAAAAATAATTAATAAATATTTTTTAAATTCCTTAAAGTTTTCCTCCTTAATAGCTTATGACTAACGAAAACCTTAATACCTTAACAATTTGAGGTGTTCAGCAGATATATACACAAATAGCCTTCCCTTTTCAGTCTCTGTATAGGTCACTGTCAAGATACACTCCGCAAAAACAACAATAAAAAAGGATAGTTCTATATCTCCCGTTCTATTGGGCCAATTGACGAAACTCAAATTGCATTTTCATGTCTCGAAAGGGCGACTTGGGATATGTATTAGATTTATATATAGCATTGTTCTAGTACAGGTATTATGACACAAAAACGGACATTTTCTGAAATGACGTGACAAGTTTTTCCATATTTCGATTGTACGACTCAAATTACGCCAAACTGCCAAGTTTTGTAAAAATCGCGTGAGTAGTTTTTAAAAAATTAGCTCTCAAAAGTTTAGCTCCTCAATATTAATTGAATTTGATATATATTTGATTCTTCTTTTCATATTTCGAAATTCAGGTTCATTCCAACTAAAATTCGCCTATTTTTTACGATTTATTTTTAAAACTTGCATTTTAAAATAATTCTTATAAACTTTTCGAAAAAGATTTTGAATTATAACCTATACAAGTTTTATAACCTATAAAAGTTTTGCCATCATCTTAAAGTAGACGTATTTCTAAGCATACCTGCAAAAATTTAGAGTTTGTTATTCAAAATTTGCTAAGATGTACTTGAATTTACATTTTAGCGCGTTTTCAAATTTGGATTATTTATTATAAGCGATAATAATGAAAATGTCGTTTACGCATTTTGTTAAAGTATTTGAAAGTATGAACGATCACTTTTTTTCCGCTCGTGGACAATGAAGATAAAGGATAGGAAAATAGGTTGCTATAAATATAGAAGTTCGCCAAGGGAATTGTCCTTGGCACAAGCTAAAAAATATTCGCCAAGATAAATTTTTAAATTTCTCCATAGATTTCCCACCAAAAATTACAAAATTTAATATCTAGGCATAAGTTGAGTCGTAAAATCGAAATATGGAAAAACATCGTATGCTATTTCAGAAAAAATCCGATTTTGTGTCAAAATATCTATGTTAGAACAAAGCTATACATAAATCTAATATATGTATATCCCAAGTCGCGCTTTCGAGATACGGAAAACGCAGTTTGAATTTCGCCAATCGGCCCAGTAAAACGGAGATATAGAACTGTCCCTCCTTTTTTTTGCACAGTATACATGTTCATTTTTGAGGCAGCCTGTTTTTTGCGTTTCTTATGAGTAAAGGCGTCGCCATCCGTTTCATCAGCAATTTAAATAGTGAAGCGATTTTGTCAACATGAGATGAAGGAAAAGAATAGTTTCATCAATAATGAAAATAATTAAACTGATATCCATACACATTTTTCGATGAATTGATGACTCTTGCATTTCAATTTCGCTACTTATAATGTGATATGAGGTTCAATGGTTGTAATTTAAACTTATACACTCACTTCGAAAAGTTAAGCACGGAGAGGAAAATGCTAATTTCCGGAAGCCAAGCAGAGGTAGATGGAAGTATGCAAATATGTTAGGTAACAGCCAATCGAGTTTTCATGTCAAGAAATATGCACAAAAGGCAGTCTTATAAGAAGCCAGCCTTATGAAGGGTTACAGAAGATGATTGTAAGTGCTGATAGGTGTTTAAAACTTTCATATAATTTTTTTCAAGACATACGTGTTTCTATGACTTAAAGAAGACGAATGGAAGATTCTGAGCGCTGGCGTTCTGTGGGGAACATGAAAGCAGAACAGTCGATCACAGACGTTGCTCTTTCCTTCGGCGTTCATCATTCTGTAATTCCACGTTTATGGAAACAATTCCAAACCACACAGACAGTTGTCCGAAGACCCGTAGCCGGTCGCCCAAGAGTTACAACCCCCGCGGAAGATCGATATATTGCTATTGCAGAAAGGCGGAATCGCAGAGCGACCTCCACACGTGTGACATCTATGTTTACAGCGTCCATTGATAAGGCGATATCCGCAGTTAATGTACGCCGAAGATTACATATGAGTGGACTGTACGCCAGGGTACCTCGAGTTTGTGTTCCTCTATCTGTCCAATCAAGAGTGGCACGATTACAGTGATGCCGGGAATATGTCAATTGGAATGCGTCTGACTGGGGCAATGTCATGTTTACTGATGAGTCAAGATCTGCTCTGGAGCCAAATGACAAGCGTATATAAGGATATGGCGTGAACAACGAACACGCAATCAGTCCCAAAACATCACCGAACATCACGTATTCCGAGGCCGAAGCATTATGGTGTGGGCTGGGATTTCATTAGGATACCGCACCGACCTGCACAATTTTAAACGAGGTGTTCTTTGACGGCTGTCCGGTATCGAGATGAAGTCCTGGAATCCATTGTGAGATTGTACGCTGCAGCAGTTGGCCCTAATTTTGTTTTAATGGACGATAACGCACGTCCCCATAGAGTTGACATCGTCGATGACTACCTGGAGAGTGAAGAAATGCGTATGGCGTAGCCAGCATATTCGCCCGAACTTAATCCCATTGAAAATCTTTGGGTTGCTCTCGTCCGTGCTGTATCTTCACGTTTCCCACCTCCAGCCGCTCTTATTGAGCTGCAAACTCCACTACAAGAAGAATGGCGATTGCTTAATTCTGCGGTGGTTAACCAACTAATTGAAAGCATGGTTACAAGGTGTAAACTTTGTATACAGATAAGGGGGGATCAAATACCCTATTAATATCCTTTTTTTCATTTTATGCTGTTTATTTTAACTTTATACATAATTCTGTTTAAGTCTCCAGTATGTCATTATCTGATAACTTACAAAAATTTAATATTGTTTTTATTTCCGTATATAATTATTGATTTTGTTTTATGCATATATATATATATATATATGTAATGATATTTTTAAATCAATTGATTAAATTAAATTCTATTAATATTGCTTAATAATGTGTTGGCGATTCTCTACCTAAATTGCATCCCCGTTCCTAAATTTTGGCGAAATCCTTTCTTTAGTATAAAATATATTAACCTGTTGGCGCCCGCCAAATCGCCAAACTCCTAAATCTGTCATATTACATAAAGTCCTTAAGAACACTCCTGATGAGAAGATAGCGTCACCTCGTGATTTCAATTAATATCGCTGATTGGGTGAGCCTCGTGATGCACACATATGTATAAATTGGGCTTCTGCTCAAGGTACGAGGAGAACGCTTACGAGATGGATGCTAAAATAAACCTACCACTTTATATTCCAAAATTTGTCTCATTCCTGTTGCCCCGGCTGCACAAAACAAATAATGTATGAGAAATTACATTTCAGAAAGCCGGTAGGATACCACCTTCAAAGGGATTATCTAAAAAAGAAAAATACCCCAAGGATTATACGGATAAAATGTTACGCACTTTAGATGAATTTTGCCGCTGTGCGACTTCTATGTTTCTACATTTTTCGCTAGGCGTTCTTGCTTCAAGATAATCATCCTTCTGTTACCTGTATTCTGGTATTCTGCAGATTATTTACGTCCAGAGAAGCATCCTTCTGCCCCCTAATGATGTGTGATTTGTGTTTTCCATCGAAAGTTCGTCGTTCATCAAATGTGCTCTTACCGTTGACCTACTTTTGAGGATGGAAATCTTTCCCTACGTCTACACCGTTCTGTGTTGCTCTCGAGAGCTTTGTGCTTGTGTGGTGATTGATCGTGTTTTGCGAAAATCTAATTCAAGAGTGCACAAAATGTGTATTTTCGTGTCGATTTCATCACTCGTATTCTCGTCACAATAAAGTCAAACAGAAAGCAATTAGTAAAAAGATTGGCGATGCAAATGATATTATTATCTATTGAATTATAATTACTGATTTAATAATAGTGTTTTTATTTTGAAAATTTTAAAAAGTATTATTTTTTGGTATAAATGTATTTTAAATTTGGTATTTAAAGGATGTATTTTGGTTTTAATATTGTTTTGGGAAAATTTAAAGAGTATTATTTTTGAGTTAGTTTTATTTATGAAAGTAGTTTTATTTATGAAAGTATTATTAAGAGAATAATGGCTAATGAAAACATCTCTGATCCTGATGATTCATTAAGGGCAGCTAGCGCTGAACCTGAAACAAGTATAATTCCCTTTGATGCGCAGAATGATATGGATATAAATTCATGGCTTGAGTACTTTAACAAAACTCATTTAGATAAAGATGGAACGTGGAAGCTTAATAATGTAGCTCGATATCTAAAAGGTAATGCACTTAGCGTATATGTCAAAAACTGCCATAAAATTACTAAATATGTGGAATTAGTCCAAATTTTAAAGGAAAATTTTTTCGACCCCGCTTTAACTACGTTTGGTGATTTTCCCAATTACAAGTACAATAATAATAGAGTGACAAAATATGTTAAAAACCTAGCAAAATGTGTGTTGGAAGTTAAATTTTGTTTTGTTATCATTAATAAGAGAAAAAGCGAATGACAAAATATGTTAAAAATCTAGCAAAATCTGTATTTTCAACAAGAGTATAAGAGCTCTAGTATCCGTGACATAAAAATCTGAAATGTTTTCAGTGCCAATATCTAATCCATAATTTCTAGCGCTAATTAAATGATCCGGAGGATCTCCAAAGACCAAGTAAAAGACTGAAGATGAGCCTGAATGACAACTCTAATGATTTGTACGGACTCATACACAAACTGTGAATGGCATGCCCTAAGATATAAACTTACAAATTCAGTTATATTACTATTTCCTATTGCCGCGTAGCTAACCAGCAATATGTTATTAATGCTTTATTTGTTCTGCACTTAGTTACTATATTATAATTTCATTAATCATTTATTATATTTTATATACTGTATTAATTATATTCAAATATTTTATGTCATATTATGTAAACATTTTGTGTGCCTTGAGGTAAATCCAATCAGTTTTCCTACTCACTTAATTTCCTAACAACTAAATTTTCTGCTCTCACTATCTGGACTGTCTTGGATCGACGGCCGCGACTGCAAGCCTTTTCAGATGGGGGGGGGGGATAATCTGTAATGATATTTTTAAATCAATTGATTAAATTAAATTCTATTAATATTGCTTAATAATGTGTTGGCGATTCTCTACCTAAATTGCATCCCCGTTCCTAAATTTTGGCGAAATCCTTTCTTTAGTATAAAATATATTAACCTGTTTGCGCCCGCCAAATCGCCAAACTCCTAAATCTGTCATATTACATAAAGTCCTTAAGAACACTCCTGATGAGAAGATAGCGTCACCTCGTGATTTCAATTAATATCGCTGATTGGGTGAGCCTCGTGATGCACACATATGTATAAATTGGGCTTCTGCTCAAGGTACGAGGAGAACGCTTACAAGATGGATGCTAAAATAAACCTACCACTTTATATTCCAAAATTTGTCTCATTCCTGTTGCCCCGGCTGCACAAAACAAATAATGTATGAGAAATTACATTTCATATATATATATATATTATATATGCTACTTTCCTGCCGAAATTTGTGTGAATCAAAGCAGTATTTGTTGATTTTTTTGCATTTTACTTCTTCGTGCTTAACTTTTGGAAATGAGTGTACAACCTTTCATTGGAAAAGCAGCCATCCTTTCGCGATGTTATTTCTTCCGCCTTTTTGCTGGTTATTTCATTTGTCTTTTATTCACTGAAATATTTGACGCGTTGCACTGAGCGAAAACCTCATCAAAATATGATTTGAATTGCCACATATAATACCTTAACACGTAACTTCTTTCAAGCGGTTTTCGCGAACTTATGTTCTTTTTTCTAATTTCCATTTTTCAGAAACATTTGTTTTCAATGTTGACACAAGAATGTTCAGTTTTCTCGACAGTTATATTTAAAATAATAGTAAAATAAATTTTGTATTCTTTTCAAATTCTTACAGAACTAAAGTTTAAAGTCCGTTTTATATCTTTCAGGCAGACGGACCTTTCATTTTCGAGGCATTTTCACTGTAACTCGGGGACAATAGCTGAGTTAAAACGTGCTTACCAAATGATAGAGGAATAAAGCATCTCCCGAACATTTTTAGTCAATGGAATCCAAAGTTTATCCTGTTCCTTCTAGTGATTCCATTTTAATACCGAATGCAAATATTATAAATTATCTGATTCAAGTAAATTTGGAGACTAATAAATGACATATTAAATTTGGTATTTTTTAATTATGTGTAATAATATGAGAAAAATCAGGTATTTGAAACACACTTTGTAAGGATCTTAAGTTTTACTAACGTTTATTTTATTTTAAATCTTTACTATCACTTCTTATTTTCTACTTCCGGCCAGAATTATAAGCGTTAATGTATTTATGCAAAGTTTGTCTGGCGAACGCCAAGTATTTAAGTTGTGGCTTTTTGCCAAGCGAGAGAGAGAGGAAGCAGTTAGTCAAAGCAGGCCGCTTACCTTAGAAGTTTTACCTCAGTTGCTGGTTGCCTTCCAGGCCAGAGGTTTAATCCTCTTGATAAATTTAAACGTATTGTAGTGTTCACAGTTCTCTGTACTACATACGGCTTCCTGTTAATATAAGGCCAATCTTCCACGTTTATTATTTCAAAGTCAAATTTTTTAGTTTTATTTATGAGTTTAGTTTTATTTTTATATTTTTACGTTTAGACCACAAGTAGTGGGTCTTTGTATTCCGAAGTACGGAAGTTATTGTAAATAGAGAAAAATAAAGGGTTTTGTATACCCTTCTTGTTTATCCTGTCTACTTCCCACAGTTATTGAACATAGCTTTAGTAAGCTCTCTGTTCCGAGTCAGGTCCTTGCATGTTCCCGAAGAAAGTAAGACGGAACATTGAACCTGATAACTTTGTTAGAGGGTTGATATAAAATTTAAATTTCATATATTTTTACTGAAAGACACGATATAATAGAAGCATGGAAATTTTAAACTTAATTTAAACATTAAACATTTAATTTGAACACAAATATTAAAAGTTTGACTTTATGTCAATGTGAGTTTCGATTAGCTTTTTAAGGCCAAGCCTTTGGTAGTAGTAAAAGCTACCAAAAGACGGGGAATTTTGAACCGAATGCTTTCATCCTTTAAGAAATCACCTCCTATTTGCAACAAAGATTCTTGTGTGTAGTTTAATGGATTCTCAGAGGGGTGCATCTATGTCGCAAAAGGAATGCCTTTGAAAAAGATAAGTGGTTAAAACCCCAGGGACGTCAAATTTGACATTTCACCCTATTTTTCAGCCTAGAAAATGGGGGAAAAAGACATGGCTACTAAAGTGGACAACCCCGTCTTTTCAAAGAGAGGACTCTATGGCCACTATAATCGCCATCCCGTCTTCAAAAGGTTAGTATATTTCTATATTAACTTTGCTTTACCTTGAAAATCTTTAAACTTTTGATTAACATTCTTTATAAATTTAAAAAATAGCTTTTCATATATATTATTAATAAATATTAAAATAAAGAAATTCCGAATGAATAATCCTCAGTAAAAGTTTGTTTGGAAATTTAAGGTTCAAAATAACTTGCAATTCATTGAAGGTTATAACAAAGTGCTTAAAGCACATTTATTTATTTATTTATAACCACATTTATATTTTTATTTATATTTACTTTTATTTATTATAAACTATATTATCATACGTAAAGAAAAGGGAGGGCAATATCAAACAATGCATTTAACTTCTCTTCAAACTGATTAAGAAATACTTACATACATAAGTATGGTTGACAGAATAAAGTAATATTTTACAACTTATTTAATTCAAGAAAAATTTAAAATAGGCACGTGACACTTCATTCTAGTTATTTTTAAAAATATCATCTAGAAGGAAAACGTTGATGTTAGTTTCGCTAGAACTTTGTGTTAGTTTTGCAAAACGCTATAAAAAAACCTCATATAAGTATTTAAAGTGCTACAAACCTTTGTATTTGGTAGCGATTGTTTCTGGCTCTCTCGCTGTTTCATTTTCAGTAAATTTTACTTTGAGAGCTTTCGTTCCAACCACTTCTAACAAGACGGAAGCAGGGGGTCCAGGAACTTCTAAAGAATCATTATAATAACACATAATAATATAATTATACTCTTTATTATCTGAGAGGCAATGCCTTAACTTTTCAACATGGTATTTACGCATACAAATATAAATTACAGAAACTGCAAAAGTATTTTTTTAACTATCAAATAATCTGCCTTGTTTTTCCATATAATAACACAGAGGCTGCTCACATATTTTTTAGACGATGTATATTGTATTCACAAAACTAAATTACATAAAATTCTTGTGTTTTAAATGTTCCATTTGATATCCCTTATCGGGAGATTTAGTAGGGATACCAGTGAAGGGTATGGCCTTGATACCATTTTTTTGTTCCTTTTTTTTTAGGAATTTTACAGTGGATTTTGATGTGTAACTGCTAGCTTTCGCCTAATGGAGTCTCACAGATGGATGGCACTGTGGGTAAAGCGATGGTATTTCCTTCAGAAAAATTGGCGATCAAATATGTTCCTGATAGTATTTGGAGTTAATTTTGACATTTTTTGCACTCTCTTTATTTTTAACTTGCCATTATAAGAAAAACCAGCAACAATCATGAATCCCTTAGAAAAACTTCCTTTCGATTCTTTTAACCATGTACTTAAATTTTTTTCTCCTCTCTTATGATAATAAATTGCTCTTTTTTTGTTACAATCATTTAAACACACTCATGCTTTATCTATTGTGACAATTGTTTTTTCATTTTTCTTTGGATAAGTGCTTCTCATATAGAAATTCTGCAGCGTGTCCTGCGTTGAGCGATATGCTTTGGAAGAAGACGATGCACATTGCGTTTTTTAGCTTTCTTAAGATTTAAATCAATGTTTATCATTTTGTTTACGGTGGACATCGACGAGCATTTTAATGATTTTGCAACTGTCCTTTGACTAAAGGGATTTTCTTTTAACATTAAACAACGTACCTTTGCAATAGTCGAAAGATGTCCGTTTTTTTCCTTAAATACTTGTTTGGAATTTTTGTCCTACTTAAGGCTCCGATTTGACGTTTTTTTCCTTTCTTGTTGATGATATTACCTATCGACGCTTTAGATATCACAAAACCATGACTCTCACATCGTGTTTGGATAACGGAGTATGCATATTTCTCTTCGGAAAGAGCGTAAATGTAGCCTTCGAACCACTGCTTTGTTAAATTCGCCATTTTGAATAAAAACGAAACGTTCAAGCCACAGACGATATTTTTGACTTTTAAAACCATAAAACATAGTACAATTGCAATTACTTCTTTTGCAGCAAACGATTTTTTATTACCGCTTACCAAAATCGTCTAAAAATGTTCGAACAGCCTCTGTACATATTCCAAATTATCTTTCATTAATGTAATGAGTTGAAACGAAAAATGCACAATAATCGAAGTACCTTTTACTTAAGTAGACTAGATAGGAATGCAGTTTCTTACATTCAAAGCATACGAAAACAAAATATGAACATAGACTAATAGATAGTCGTAAAGTAATACAGTCTGATTTTGCAGTAGTAAATTAATAAAAGCTTACTTGCGAAAATTATGCTGTAACATTAAATACTTGTTATGGTTGTTAAAACTGCCTATTTTTCATTTTCACTTTTAACATTAAAAAAAAACTTTAAGCAGTTGAATTTGAGTTACGGCCGATTGAATACGAATAATATGATTTGAATACGGCGTATAATTGAGTGCAAATCCAATGCATATTTTTTTATTTGTTTTTCGTTTCTTTTTCTTCCTCTTTTATTTATTTATTTTGTTGGTATCAGTACTAAAGAATATGTTTGTTTATTCGATACAAGTTTATGCTTCTAGTTTCTTTACACTCTTTCTTAAAATAACCATACGTCCATATTTTATTAAGCACAGTAGAGCTCCAGTTATCCGAATCAACTGGAACCGGATCCTATTCGGATAATCAAAAATTCGGATATTTGGATTTTTTCCGAAGAAAGGGTCTACGTACATTTTAATTAGTTACTGTATGTACCGTATGTTAAAAATGGGAGAAAAATTTATTTTTAAAGAAAAAGAGGTTTTTAATTAATTAAAAGGAAAAGGCAACATTTTTATGTACATGCTATATAGCTTACTGTTCAGTATTTACAAGTGCTGAACGTCATTGCTTGCTGAACATCTTGGTCAAAGTAAGCTGTTTGACGAACACCGTGCCTGCACTTCAAATTTCTTAGCCAGCCGTTACTTGCTTTAAAAGTTTTCATAAAGAATGCGACCCGAAATTGGGTTCCCCACAGAACGTTGTTGCAAAAACCCTTTGAAAATGACATCTTCTAAATTTTTGTTTGTTGCTGCACTGATTTTCTTGAAGAGCTTCCATCTTCGTTTCCAAGCAATGAAACGAAGTTTAAAAGTGTAGTTTGTTCCTTTTAATGTCTGAAATCGGTAATTGTCCAACACTACGTTTTCGTCTTAATTCGTTTCTTAAACTCTGGAAGCGATTCGGATAATCAGAGTTCGGATAATTGGAGTTGTACTGTACTTCAAAGGTAAGGGTTCTGATATTTTGATTACTTTGGCAGGTTGCAAAATGGTGTTCTAAAAGGTTTACTAAGTGTTTTTATTTATTAAGTACTGCACTTCGAAACACAGAATTTACTAGGAAAAAGGATAGAGAATTTTATGAAAGAAATTTCAAAATTATGATGGGAAAGTTCTTTAATACAATTCAATTTTTATACTGTCTGCGTTGTATAAACATATAAAAGATTAAAACATCCATTCAACTCGAATGAATTCAAAACCAGAAGCTTAGTAATTTTAGCGGCAAAATTCCCGACGATATTTAAGAACTAATTCAATGACTGAAGTTCCCTCTCTTTCTGTTCTTTCGCTAAGCATCTCCACAATTTAAATTCAAGATAGTAGATTAAAATTGTAGATTAAAATTAAGAAAAGACTAAGAAAAGCTCATCGTTTTAGAGCTAATGGCTCTGTTGTAAGAAAAACACTACTCTTCATCAAATTTGTGTTTGACCTTATTAAACTATAAAATATGTTCACAAACATTTACTTTTCATTTTTGCATGTAAAGAAAGTAAACCGTTATATTTAAATGAAGAAATAATTGAAATTTTAATTATAATAGGCCTTAATAAAAAATTAAATTTTATGTTCACAGAATTAATACACACGCATTGCTCACATATTATTAAAAAAATTCTCTACCCCATTTAAAGAACCTTTGTTATTGGGAATGGACATAGTTTCTTTTTCCAAATACCTTGCAAATGAGCATTATAAATGGACTTTAAAAGTTCTTTGTATGTAGTTCAATGTATTTGTCCAAACTTTATGGTGATAGTATATTATGATACGGAATACATTTTAAAGCAAGATTTTAGAGATACTGAAATCATCAGATACTAAATAATTCGGGTATCTCAATGATAATAAAATAAGGGGATATAATTTCTCATCAATATAGTTAAGTAATCTTAGAGATAATAAATAACACTAGGAAACCATTTTTTATTCCAATAACTGTTCCAATATCTCTTATAAATGAAGCAGCAAATTTAGATATTTTATATTAGTGTTTGAGAAATGATATTCTGCCCTACATTACCTGAAAATCACTAAGATTTCACAATCCACCACAAAGAAAACAAAATCTTTACAACTTCTTTTTTCCGTTTTTTTTCTAGACAGTGTGCACACGTTTCTGAGCATATTGTTACTAATTCAGTACATATATAATTAATTTTAGTGAAACTATATGTGAAACTGCATTAGCGTTTACATAATGTAACATAATGTGAAGAGGACGAAGCTCTGCCGGAAAAATATGATTACAGGGGCAAGTCTCTTAAACATTGAGGTAAATAACTATCTCTCTAAACTGTCGAGACATCCCCAAGCTAGCGATGGCTTTGGCGACTAAAATTTGTTGCCATATTTGAAGAGAAACGTTTAAAGTCTTTAAACTTGGCGACCACCTGCCGACATATGGGTCTGCTCCCTGTATAACTGTAATTGGTGCCTCTATGTAACTGCAGGTTCATTTCTGCCAAGTTACCAAAAGCAAGAATGGTGTAGTTTCCCTTAAATGCACATGCTGGACCTTTAGAAAAACAGCCATATTTCTTTTGTGTCTTTTTACAAAACGGTCTACAGCAAATCGAAGAATGGTTAAGGATTTAAAAGAAATACGAAAATATCTTTGAGATATGGCACTTGTGATCAGTGGGGAAAATTTCGTAAATAGTAGTTTCATGTAATAGTGTTTTCAATAATAAAAATATTGAAAACTACATGAAATGCGCCCAATCCACTTAAACACAGCATCTGTCCGTTTTTCATATTTAAAATTTATTGCATCATTTTATATACATAATTTACATTTATCCTGTTTATAATGTGGAACAATCTTCAGAGAAATTGAATTGCGCAGTGAACCGATTCACGGTTTCCTTCTTACTGTAGTATGTATAACATTCGCTTGCCAGCTCATTATAAGCCAGTGACATTTCGCCAATTTTGTGGCCAAATATCGCCTAATGGGAGATTTTGCTTCAAATGTGACAACCCTGTCTTTTCTTGCCACTTCCTGGGAACCCTAACCCTGTTTTGGGTAAAGCTGCCTCACCGCAACTGGGCATTTTGCTGGGTATAAAATATTTATCCCTATAGCTCACGCAAAACGTTTACTGCAAACTGAAATTCAACGACTTGTTTTGATTTTATTCCTGTACATTTTTGTCTTCTCAAACACCCTTTATAATACCTGCCATTTAAAACACCCCTCTGCGAAACACAGAATTCATAATTTAAGGGGATATACCGGCTGATTTTAAAATATCCTAGCACCTGAATGGACTGAAGAATGTAACTGTTATCCACATTTCACAATTTAAAAGCAAGTACACCAGCCATAGAGCAAACATGAAAACGAGAGCTTTAAATAATATATTATAATAATTAGATAACAAGGCAAAAAGTAAAGATAAGCAAGAGGATCGCTGTTGAATGAGTCCGACTCTCATAAAATAATGCGGTATAAACACGGATAAAAGTAAATTCAATTTTCCTTTATCATCTATTCATTTGAAAAAAGACAGGTTTATGAAAACCTGTTAAATTTCAGTCCTATATCTAAAGAAGAATCGAAAAAGTCTCAGGATTTACAAACATCACGTATAAGCCTGGAATTTTTAAAAAAGATTTTATATCATTTTTTATGTCACTTTCAGCCTTGCACTTGCTTAAGAATATAGGATAATAAAATACAGAAAATTGATGCGTACTTAGTTTTTCGAATCCTGCTTTCATTTTCCAGAGAAGCTGCTGTCTTCTTTTCCATAAGGAAAGCTGTTTCTCTTTTTCCTTTAAAATTTAAAAAAAAAAAAATAAATAAAATAAATAATAGTCTCTTTTATGTCTCCATAGAATCAATATTTAGTATACTGGAAGATAATATTATCAAAAGAAAATATTATTGGAGAAGTGTTTAAATTGGAATTCTAAAATTAGATTTTATTGAATCAGTATTTTAAATTACCTTTTAAAATATTTTATATGTTTGGAAAAGGACACGTAAAAGTAGTCACACGTAATTCAAGTGATGTTGAGTCCCTATTCATTTGATGATATACTTTTTCCTGATTCATTTAATGTTATTTAATGTTATTCGTTTATCCACTCATGTCCAAGATTATTTTTACATGCACATAAAATCATGGATATCACAGAAAATGTGAACTATACTTTTATGAATGAGGATAGAATGATACAAAACATTATCTTATATATATGCGGCTTAACTGTTTGTCGCCGATAGTTTATTGGTTGCTTGCGTAACTGTAAATTGTTTTATTCCCCGTGTAGTGCAGCGCGTGACGAATATTATGAGAAAGCCGAAAAAAATAAAAATACAAGAGCACGTGCATTTAATATTTAATAAATAAATTTAACATCTATATATAATAGAATTCGGAAATATGCAACCGGCAAAAACCGGCAACGATGAAAAAACAAATAAAATGAAGTAAATAAATATCTTTATTATATGCGGCTTAACTGTCTGTTTGCCGCCGATAGTTTATTGGTTGCTTGTGTAACTGTACTAGCCAGTAGGGTGAGAGGTTGCCACGGCACAGGGTTGCGTTTCATTGAACAAGGGTATTGCCGAAAAATTAAAAAAACAAGAGACGGCATTTAATAAATAAATAAATTTAACATCTATATATAATAGAATTGCAAATGCAAAAACCGAAAAAAACAAATCAAGTATTGTAAATAAATATCTTTTTGCGGCTTTAATTTTTCCTGTGAATGTCCGGTAGAATTGCATTTGTTTTCTGAGACAGAATCTCAGGGCCCAAAGTTCAAGCGTTGGATTTTTTTGAGCCTGAGCCTTTGGACACGGTCAACTTCATGTTGCCTGTTCAAGAGTTCGTGAAAGAACGGACGTAAAATTAAAAATAATGGATGGTCCTCTGCAAGGCGAGCTTAAAAATGATGGAAAGATCTACACAAGAAATGTTGTGTACAAAGAGATCTTTGACATGTGAATTAACATTTCATTATTTAAATCACCTTGGTTGATTTAGCTAGCGGTGGCTCTGAAGGAAATGGACCGCCAGTAGTTTCCTTCATTGCACTCTACTTTAAGCAATTAAGCAAGCAGAAGGGGGAACCCTGTGGGACAGTAAGCAAAGGGGCGTCCTGGCCGCCTGGCCTGGGTAATTCAGTTTAAATTAGCAGACACCTTTGCACAAATCATTTTAATTACAATTTATAATATCTAGAACAGCGGTCATTTCGTATGACCGCCGGGCTTTCTAGTAACATATAAACACAAAGGAAACAAATTTAAGAGCACTACATAAGGTATGAAACACTAGCATGACACAATAAAAATGATAAAAATATATTACAAGGAGAGTTCAGGAAAACATTACTGAGAAAAATTTAAGGTTTATAAAATTTAATACGGAATGCCATCTCTCCTAACTTTACAACGGGATATCACAATTTGTTTTCATGCTGGCAATAACGCTGATAACCACAGTTTGGTAAATTAAATTCCACACATGCAACAATGCGGTTTTCAAGGCATTTATATATCCAAGAGCAGGATGCCTCCGTGTAACTGCTTTTCCAAGATTACTGCTCGGCAGTTAAGTTCAGAGCTTGCAGCCACCGGAACTGTTGTATTACTGCAAACTGTATACGGAAGGGTTTAATGAAAAAGGTTTTTATGCCAGAAAGCCACTTATATGTGTTTCACTGCCTTTACAACTAAGGGAGACAGCTTTATTTCTTGCAAAGAGCATCAGAAATGGAGTGAACATCAAGAATCCAATGTTCGCTTTACTGATGAATCGAGGGTAAGTTCAACATCTGATTCTAATGTGCTTACAATCTAAGTTCATCTAAGTACTTACATCTAAGTTAAGTAAGCTGCATTTTGCAGCTACCATTGGAACTGTCGTATCACTGCAAACTGTATTTAGAATGTTAATGAAAAAGGTCTTTATGCCAGAAAGCAAGCAACTTTTATGTGTTTATCTGTCGTCACAACAAAGAAAAATAGCTTTATTACGTGCAAAGAACATCATAAATGGAGAGAACACCAATGATCCACATTCGTTTTACTGATGCGTTCTAATACATTTTATTGATGCGCCGCTTAGAACATCTGATTCTACTCGATTAGGTCTCAATCGTGTTGAGATTAGAGTATTTTCTGGCTACGCTGTTTCCTCAATGTCTTTACTTCCAAGGAAATAATCCATAAGGTTTGCTAGTTTTAAATAGCATTATCATGCATAAATTAAACGTCAGATCAATATGAACCTCTGGAACGTCTTACATAAGGTTGTAAGACCTCATATCGATATCTCTGGCCTTTCACATATCCTCCATTAAAAACGCATAGAGACGTACGTTCATTGATCTTTATTCCTCCCCACAGCAACTCACCTGCATTACCGGAACCGTCATGTACCATAACATTTGAAGGACCATCTCACGTTTCTGGCTGCCTCTAAATGTAAACACATTTAGAATCAGATGTTGAACTAAACCTCGACGCATCAGTAAAGAGAACATGCGATCATTGATGTTCACTTCATTTCTGATGTTCTTTCAACGAAATAAAGCTATCTTCCTTTGTTGCGAAGACAGTGAAACACATAAAAGTTGCTTTCTGGTATAAAGATCTTGTTAATTCTACTTTCTGTGTATAGTTTGCAGTGATGCAATAGTTCCGGTGGCGGCTGCAAGCTATGAACTGCCGAGCAGTAAACTTCTTGTTACGACATTTGTGTTTAGTTTACGATCTTATCCAGACTTCCTTACAAAAGTTCTATTTCATAGGCTAGAGATTTTCCCCATATTTCACTACTTGCATGTTCGTCTGCCTTGCTTCTTAACGGTCGATGATTCGGTTCTTGATAGACTCTTTCAAATTATACTTATGGAGCCATAAGAAACTGTTTTGAGTCCTTGCACACCGAAATCAAGAGTCTGTATCACTAAAATTCACTCAGATCTTAAATTTTCACTTTCTTCGTGTTATTTATTTGGGAAATAGGAATGCTTTGTAACTTATTGGTGAAAGAGAAAATAGGAAATGTCAAGTTTGTCAACACAACAGTTGCCATGTTGTTTCCTAATGATTATCAGATATATATATATACGTTCATGTTTCTTAAAAATAACCTCAATGTAAAATTTTATTGGTCTTTAAAAATACAAATAAGTGGTGCTCCAGTATAAGAGATGCAATGTTTGAGAAATGTGAGGTGGCTAGACTGTACTACGAGAACATTTCAGAATGCCATTATGTTTTTTTAATGCAGGAAATTATGGAAAATAAAATGCTGCCTTGCCCGGATTTCAAATTTGGATCTGCAACTGCTGACAGAAAGTATTAATTACTTATCCACGAAATAAGCATAGAGAATGCGGTAAGCTGTCTTATCCATATATTTGGACAGTTCATAGAAAAAAAGGCCACTTTAACTAATTAACGCTCATATATTTTTACACAACAGAATTTAAAAAGAAAAATTTTAGTAAGGAAATAAGTATACATTTCTAAGCTATGTTGAGTGCTAACACTGATTCATCGTTCGGTACATTTAAAGCATGTGTTGAGGATAGTTCTTAAATGTAGTAGAAAATTTGAATTTAAAGCATGCACCACTGCTGTAATGGCAGCTGTAATGCACTTTCGGTATCCATCTCTTTTACAAGGAAATTCGCTGTAATGGCAGAGCAGCTGATAGCTTCTATGTAGAACAATTTCCAAACAAAATGTAACCAGCTTATTCCATGTTTTTAAACTCAGTGTTTGTGTGATTAGGAAAAACTTAAGCTAATTCTAGCAGAAATACACAGCATTGTAAACGTTAAAAATGCGATACTGGAATAGGCTGGTCAGCAGCCATCCAGATTAGAAAGTTAGAACCTAGTAAGGAAGAAATGTACATTATGTCCAAAAACTGCAAATAGCTTTCGCAATACAGTGATATTAACAAGTATTACTAGAATATTACAGTACTAATTATACGTTACATTGCATACAGAAGTCACAAAGCTTTGGCAGTGGTAGAAGTAATTGATAATTATTGCAGTAGTTATATGATAAATATTGCCATCTTTATTTAGAAGTAATTTTTCATTAATATATTAACAACATGCATATCGAGAAAAGTATTTCACGTCTACAAATCAAAATAAAAATAGCCAGAGTTCAGAATTTCACATATGTATTGTAACGTACAGTATTCTTAGCGAGCATAAACTAACTAGTCGTCAAATGTGTAAGGTCAGTCCATACGTTCGTGGGCATTAGGAGTATGCGTGGAATTCACTACGACGCATTTACTAAAACAATACAATTTTGAACCTGTTGAAACTTGTCATCGTTTGACTAACATATATTCAGTTCATCACCAACTTTCGTAAATATCGAACGCATTTTAGTACCTATAGAAGATGAATATAGATAATCAGTAAAAACGTTCTGTGCTACATTTCTTATTTTCGTGCGGTGAATCTGCCAGGTCTGTAGGGATAAAAATTAATAGTGTGCATGGTGAACACATTACTAGTGTAAGAACTGCCCAGAAATGGTTTACAAAATTTTAAGTGGGAAAAATTGAGTGCGGTGTGATTTTTGAGTGTTAGTTTTTGAGTATGGTGTAATATTTTGAACTGTTAGAAACAAATCAAACGATTAATTCAGAAGTTTAATAGTGAACAACTTTGCCGTCTAAACTCAGAAGTGATCAAAAAATGCCCACGATTGTTGAATATCTAGAAAGTGTTGTTTCATCATGGTAACGGTATACCGCATACGGCTCGAACAACGTCGCAAAAAATGAGTGAATTTAATTGGGAGCTTTTGCCACCTCCTGCTTACTCCCCAGATATTGCCCCAAGTGATTTTCACTTATTTCGTGCCATACAAAATATTTTAATGGAAAAAAAAATAAACTTTAAACAGGATGTACACAATGAACTTTCAAGGGTTTTTGCATCGAAACCACTTTCTACAGCAATGTCATAAAAAAGCTGCCTGTAAGAGGGCGAGACATTGTAGATAATAAAGGAAAAAATATAATTGATTAAAATGTTAAATAGTGTTTTTTTATATTATTTAAAAAATTTACCAAAAAATGCGCACGAATTCATGGACTGACTTCAATTGTCCTTAAGTACGAGAACGTTCAGAGAAAGGGTGTAAAGGACCCTTTATTAACTCAATATATTCACAAATGCCACCTTAATGAACAAAAATGTCATAAATGTAAAGCAAGTGCGTCTTTTTTTTTAATTAAGGATAGTGTTTTAAATTATTTTAATGTGTAATGTAATATATATAAGCAGCTGGAAATGTGTGTAATTATGCAAATAGATTGAAACGCAATAATTAATGTAGTGATTAACTGAAGCAGTGTATTAGACGTAAAATTGTATTAGATGTATTAGATGTAAAAGCAAGAGTGTTTCTAAAAATTAATGATATTTTTTTTTAATTTGTCATGTGTAATGTAATGTATGTATGCAGTAGTAAATGTAAGTGTGTACTCAAGCAATTAGATTGAAATGTAATAATTAATGCAGTCATTAACAGAAGAAGTGAAGTAAACATAATGTACATAAGCAGATAGCAGACGTAAAAGTAAATGTGTATTGCAATAATAGAATTCTAAAGGTGAAAGTGTTATAAATGTAAAGCAAACGAGTAGATGAAAAAGCAAGAGCGTATTAGAAATTAATGATAGTGCTTTTAAAAAAGTTGTAATGTGTAACATAATAAGCAGTTGTAAAATGTATGTGTGTATTGCAGTAACAGTGTTCTAAACGTAATAGTGTTTTAAATGTTAAGCGTGTATTGTCAAGTGTAGTAATACATTAAGCAAATAATGTCAATGCAGTTGTAATATGAATTAAAAAATGTATCTCTAGATATAGGTGGACGTGGAGCTATACCAATTAACCTCAATGGTAGAGGCATGGTGCCCACGCCCTCCGTCGCATATCGCATATCGCATTCACAAATGGCACCAAATTGCGCTTACAAAATCCAATACTTCTGGTTTAACTGAATAGGTAATAAGTAACGTAAAATAGAGTAGAATTAAGTTAACCTAAAAGCTTTTTACTAGCCGCTTAACGCGCAGGGATGCTCTGGCTCGTAAAAATCTGAGTAACAAGACGACTGGAAGTGCTCAGTGCCACAAAAGTCTAATCGCTAGTAAATCAAAGATATCAAGATGGCCTTCAGGAGGCAGAACCACTCTCTCTTTCTGCTTCTACATTCACTTTCCGGTTACAGCCGAAAACATCGCGGCAAAAATATCGCGGACGAAAACGTCGCGGAGAAAACAACGCAAGGCGAAAACGTCGTGCTACAAAACATCGTGTGAGAAAACATCGCACGAGAAAACATCGCCGTTCTAAAACATCGTGGTACAAAACATCGTCGTCGAAAATAAAACGGTTCAAAAACTTCGCAGTTTAAAAACATCGTCGTCGAAAATATCGTGGTAAAAAATAAAGTATCTACAAATCATCGCATGACGATAACATCGCAGACATGCTTCTTTCATGCTTTAATAACTGTAAATGGATATTCCCATATTGATTTGTGATCGCAAGATGGAAAGAAGGATAATTTTTACTTTCATACTTTTTTATTAACTAATAAATTTTTGCTGAGAAAATAAGAATGAAACTTAAGCATAGAAAATTAATGCAACTTATAGCATTTAATAGAATTTTAAACCGACATAGTTAACTAACAAAGGCCATAATAAATCATTTTTATAAAGTTTTTACTGGTAATTTTTCATGAAAATTATAATCTATAATTTGCATTTAATTTTTTATGCTTAAGTTTCCTTCTTACTTTTTCAGCAAACATTTATTAGTTAATAAAATATGTGAAAATAAAAATTATCCTTCTTTACATACTGCGCTCACAAATCATTATGGGAATAGCCATTTACAATAATTAAAATCTGAAAAAAGCATGTCTGCGAAGTTATCGTCATGCGATGATTTGTAGATACTTTATTTTTTACCACGATATTTTCGATGACGATGTTTTTAAACTGCGAAGATTTTGAACCGCTTTATTTTCGACGACGATGTTTTGTAGCACGATGTTTTAGAACTGCGATGTTTTCTCTTTGCTATGTTTTCTTCCACGATGTTTTGTAGCACGACGTTTTCGCCTTGCGTTGTTTTCTCCGCGACGTTTTCATCCGCGATGTTTTCGCCGCGATGTTATCGGCGGACACCCACTTTCCAAAACCTTCCCTTAAATACTAAATTCTTTTTACCTCATTAGAATACACGCGCACTACTTCATTTAAATTCTGGCGAGAAAGAGTGGATTGGAAGCGAGAGTATTGAGAAAGTTGTTTCAAAACAAAAATTAACTGTTATTTAAATAAATTCTCACAATGTCATTAAATGTTTCACCCGAAGAAGTTTCGTTTCATTAAGGAGGTATCAGAGAATCGTTATTTGGTTCTTCAAGTTTTCTATCAATATAGAAAGCTATCAGAATCTTTGAATCCAGTTTATGATATTTAGGGAAGAGGATAAATGAAATTGTTATTATAACATGTTTGAGCGACATTATAATATGTCAGTACGATCAAAAGTTTTATACGCGATATTTTCGATGTCGTCTCATCAGTCATGGCTTATGACTATGAAAGTCTTCTGCTAGACATTTTTCTATGGCACTATCTGTGGTGGAAAAACATTGGCTCAGGCCACGAAAAATATTCAACCACAAATTTTGAAAAAGAAAATGCAGCGAAACATAATTTTGAAGCATGCTTATTTTTTTACGGTGTTTTCCTCAAATATGCGTTCAGTAATACCCCGCTTAACGCGGGGGATACGTTCCATCGAAGTAGAGCGTAATGCGAAACAGCGCTAAGCGAGGCTATCTTAACATGTAAATAATGGGGTTAGGGGAAGACGGATAAAAAATGGTTAGGCATTAAATTTAATAATGTTTTTTTTAATAAAAATAAAACCAAACATTTATTTCTTACAAAAATAAAAACAATATAAACGCATATACTTTTAAAAACAAATAAAATACGCAGTCAGATCATTCAGTCTATTCTGGGTTTCCAATTTTCTGCCTTTTTGTCAAGAAGGCATTATGATAGATTGGCTTAATGGCATATTGCGTTCAATTTTGTCGTCAATCCATATAGACAGTCGTTTTCCCATTTCCTCTATAATGTTATTTCTAGAACGGGTAATTCTAGTTGTAGAGCTTGACGCAGTTGCAGTTGCCGATGACAGTATTTTTTCTTTATTCTTAAGAATTGTCTTTATTGCTGAAGTTGCCAAAATCAATGCAGCACTAATTTGAGATTGACGTTCACCAGAATCTAATCTTCTAATCACTTGCATTTGAGTTTCCAGTGAAATGCTTTTTCTAGGTTGCTTTCTTTTCTTGTTTTTTATTATTATCACCCATGATAAAAACTAAAGATCATAATATTTGTCACTGTATTAATCGTTATAGTATTATACAAATTTAAACTTACAATAATGTCAACAAATGTTTCAAATGATAAAAAGCAAGAAAACACAACTACACTGTTTCGGATATGTTATTTGGAAACCTAGCGCTGCGCACAATTTCGGAGAATCCCCGGGTTGAAATAAAAGAGCGCTAAACCGAAACAGCGCTAAACGAAACAGCGTTAAGCGGGGTCTTACTGTATCTGCAAATGAAAATGAGTTTCATTTCGCACGAGACACTATGTATTTATTTGGATTTATACAGATATTCATAAATGATTCGTTTTTGTTAAAAAAAAAGATATATATGTGAGGCAATTTAAAAAGAAACACCAACAATATTTATTAATATTCCCCATCATCGTTAATAAGAGTTTAATCGTTACTGATGATGATTCAAAAGCTACTAATTGAAATATCCTGTACTATAATATTATTATAATTAGGATAGTGTTATCAAAATAGCGGATAAATGCAAACAAATAGATAAAACTGATTCTGAACCTTGAGTAACGCCATGGAAAGACTGCCGCTCGTGGCTGCACTGAGGACACATGACGTGAGATCTTCGACACACCTTTCCGCTTCCTTTACTAGTGATAAGAGTTGGCTGCCTTTGCTTTCCTTCGTTCGAACTAAAAGACAATTATGATAAATATTACGAAACGTATTTATATGCTTTTTATTTGATTAAAAGGTTATACAGTTCAACATCACTACAGATAATAAAAACACTACAGACTAAGAAAAGTTGAATCCAAATAACACTCCAGGGTAGAAACAAAATATATGCAAAATTAAAAAAAAAAAAAAAAAAAAACCCTCTCCACTCCTCGGGGGGGGGGCGGAAGAAAACTTGGAAATTACACATGTAATAAAATTACCTCATCCATCACTAATCAGAAATTTTTAGGCTCTTGATACGAATGTTGCTCAGGATAATTACGCATGTTATGTTTTCGGATGCAAATTTTTAGTAGATAATACTAGTAATGATAGATAAAAAATTAACGGTTAAGAACGTATTCTTTTTGTGAAAATAATTAATGCAGAATCTTGTATTTAAAAAAAAACTGTGATGACTCTCACAGTTTTTTAATGTTTTTTCACAGATTTTTTCTACTTCGTTGAAGGGCCTATTTTACTTCCTCGAGTTATTCTAATTTAATTAACCTATCCCTCATCTTTATTAATAACATAAAAAACGAAAATTTTAAAATTAAATACCGCAGTAAATTTTGTCGTACGAAAGTCAAACTTGTTATATTGTTTTTTTTTCAACGAGTATTAAAACTTCAACAAATATACGAATAGGGAACTGGAGACCGCATTAAAAGTTGGATTTCGTTATTTGCCCCAAATGAATTATTTTGAAATTTCTCAATGCCCAAACATGAATATTTTTGTCATGTGAAATCTAGATGTTATAGCAGTCCAATATACAAATACAAAATTTCAAGGTTCTACTGATGATATTTTTTGAGTTACGCGAGATATTGGAAACATATATGCAGACATACATACGTTAAAAAACAGGAAAAGTTCCTTTTGAATCCACTTTTTAAACCAATTTTACAATCCGTTTTCGAAAAACAGAGTCCCTTTTCTCTAGTATTACACATCACATCAATACAAAATATAAAGGAACACCATTCACACATAATTATGAGTATTAAAAATAATATGCCAATTTATATTTTCAATTACCATATAATCAAATCTTTATGAACATTTCAGGGTCAAAAATTTAATAACATTCCAAAGACTTAATAATTTCATTGTCACCCACTAGTTACCTGTAAAACAGCAGTACCCATAACTAATTAATTCCCAAATATCAAAATTTATTGAATTAGGTTCACAATGCAGACGGCATATTTCCCCTAAATCATATAGGATCACATGTCCATTCATAGAATTCATTGAATAATCATAAACATGAGTTTACAGGAAAGTTTAATAGTCCATTCTTAGAATCTTTCCGTACAGGAAAGTTTAATAGTCCATTCACAGAATAATCATAAACATGAGTTTACAATTTAAACACATTCATGTTTTTTGGATTATCCTAAGGAAAGAGAGTTGGGATACTGGCCAAAACCCCTACAGAAATAAACTTCTTTAATAATTAATACTCTGCTTAAAAGTTAAACATTAAAAAATTACCATGTTTGCTCTCAAGAGATATTGAATATCTCAGATTCCATTCGAAATTTAAATTATTTTACTTTTATTTAACTAAAATTCCCTTTGAAATAGTTAAGAATATCCCTCACTTTATCAATAACTAATTTTGCTAATTTACAATTAACACAATTTAAACACTTGATCTAACTTCGTAAAAGTAATACAATCTAAACAGGTAAATTTAAAATCTCCTCCCCTCCAAATATTCGTTTCTACCTACAGTACATATTTTGACTTAATCTATCATCAATAAACAAAATATTGGAATTATTCCACCGATATTAAGTTCATTCTCGTAGAATCCATTCCAAATGACCGTACAGGAGAAGTTAAAAAACACTGTAGCCATGCACTGCAATCTGAAGCAATCTGATAACATTAAATTGCCTTACGTGTATTATATTTTAATTTCTTAAGTGTTAAGTATGTTTTGACAAGCTGGCAGTGCCTACGTATGGTGACTGCACCTTCTGCTCACGTCTCTGTTTCTTAAATACAACCTTGTACAAAATTCACACATTCATTCATTAATAGGCTCTGGTATATGTTAGCAACATTCTCCTTTAAAACACCACTTGAACTACAGATCACATTTTGTTTTGCAGGTATGCTTCCATAAATCGGAATCAAGTGTGATCGATACGGAAGCAAAGTGTGCGTCATGACATACACCCGGAATCTATATTCTTCGAATACATCTTTGTGGCCAGGCGCGGACCAGGTAAAGCCAACACCCCAAAAAAATTCTATGCAGATATTGCAAATTAAACTCAGGAAAGTGTAGCTAGCGAGGGAGCAAGTCACGTTGCTTAATTGTTTTCAAAGCTCAGACAAATCTGAAATCCACATACGTGCAGTGCAAGTTCCGAAAAAATCTCGGTGAAACGTCACTTGTCAAAATAAGTAGCCTCTTAAGAAAATTAAAACTGCTTTCAAGCCAATGGCTTAATGTATAAATTATCCTTCAGCCAATCGAAACGCGAACATAAAAATAACTAAACCTTTTTCCGGCCTAAGAAAAGCTCCATGAGTCATCAAGCCTCATGTTATCTTTCAAAAATGAGCAAAAACTTTAAAAGAACAAAGAAAACATAACATCCTGTCTTTAATAGCCCAGTTAACAAAAATCTCTTTGCATTTCCGTTCGAAACAAGCAATTTGTCAACAGAAAACAAAATACTCCAGAATCTTTCAGACAGGCCTACCGATTTAATTGAAAAACGAGACCCTCAAACTGCTTACTCCTCTCCCGAAGCACTTTCATTCCTTCACTGACCTTCGGCAATTCCAACACACTGTATATATTTTTCCTAAAACACGAACTGTAAGACTCCTCTTAAATTCCTGAACTGTGAGATTGCTACCAAAAGCTAAAGAATTGAGACATTATCAAAAGCTAAAGAATTGAGACATTACCAAAAGCTAAATAATTGAGACATTACCAAAAGCTAAATAATTGAGACATTACCAAAAGCTAAAGAATTGAGACATTACCAAAAGCTAAAGAATTGAGACATAACGAAGTTTTTAACTCACAAAATTTTCTTACTACTAATTTACTCACTTTCATTTAAATTTGAAATCTTTAATAACATAAACTAAATTTTTTATATAACAGTAGTTATTTCAAATGGAAAGGATACCTCTTTGAAGAAGAAAGAATCTTGAAAATTAAACTGCATTCAAAAATTTAATTTAAAAAGAAAAGTAACTCCTTTCTCTTTAACTTACTCTCTCCAAGTGGAAACTGTGTTTTTTTCTTTGAACAAAAATAATAAAAAATTAGATAGACAGAAAATACTTGACTTCATGTTTAGATTTTATGGGATATTAAATGTTTTCTTCTAGATGTAAGTAAAATGTGCAGTAAGGAATGATTTCACAGCAATAAGCATTTAACTGCAGAAGGTAACATGGTCCGTTGAAAAAGAAAAAAAAAATCCTTTCTAAATGTATTTTACAGTTCTTTAATGAAAATGTAACAGAATTTCGTTCCAAATATTAAATTTAAGTGTATAGGATAATACTATATGAGACTTAAAATATACATATAGGTACTATTTTCCTGAACATTGACCTTACAAAAGCACTTCCTATTACGAAGTTTCTCAGAATGAGGTATTGGATTTTATGGGAACAGTTTCAGTAACAGGTAGGTTAACACTAGTAATAAGTTATGCAAACAATAGAATCTAATTTTTTATATGGTCCATGTGAAGCAAAAAAGTTAATCAGTAAAAGGTTCATTAGCCTTTTAGCCTTTCATAAATAAATACATTGGGGTGAAAAAAATTACAGAGCTAATAGTATTAATAGTTTTATGAGTCAACTTTGAAACTAATAAAGAATGCTATTTTACCAAACATTGGAGCTTTACTCGAAAAAAAAAAAGAAACTTTTGTTTTACAGTTTTTTCATTGTACGATTAAAAATGTGATATTTTTATAAGAAACAGATAATGAAAATGATTTAAATGAGCAAATTCCTTCTTGAATATTTCTGCGAACTTAACATGTAAATACATTTAACTATTCGTGTTTAACTTGAGAAACGACATTGTAAATGCTCCTTCATGAGGTTTTTTGGTTTTTTAGGGAATGTTTGAAATTTTTATATTCCTTTTTGCGAAACGTTCAGCTTTATTATCGAACAATTTTCATAACGTTCTCTACCTCAGTCTGAGAGTTTCTACTTTCTTCTCAATTAGAAATATATGTGTAAAATAAATAATTTTCGAATTTGAAAAACGTAATTTGAATTTCATGAATCGGCCCAGTAGAACGGAAGATACAGAACTGTTCCATTTTTTTTGCGCAGTATACATCCCATCTACCTTATGACAAAGATACCTTACAAAAAGCAATGAAATGAATTTTTAATTATGTAGATGACAATATGTTTAATCAAATTTTTATTCACTGGGCTAAATTTAAACAAATCTTTCAGTCGCAGAAATACGTCACATCGTAAGACAATATTGTGCCTTATGACCTTTAAATTTTGATGGAATCGCTTACCTTACCGATGGCTATACCAATATTTTTTTGGAAGCTATCAAGATGGCTATGTAAAAAAATTCAATTTGATGCTCATGTGCAACCGAGGATTTTGAAGCTCTCAAAATGTTACTGTTCAGTTTCGCTGTCATTCTGTGCTCCCTCCAAGAAAGTCTTTTGAAGTTCGTCATTGTTTTGATGAAATGTTTATCTCTCAGGAGCTGCCGAATCTGTGAGCCATCAGAGACGCTGACTTTTATCTTTTCAAATGACAGGATAGGTTATGCCCAAATGAGACACTTGAAATAATCACCTTCAGTCGGCAAAGATTTAGTAAATTACTTCATGAGACCCAGTTTTATATGCAGAGATGAAAATATATAATATTCTTTCTGTAGACAAGTTGCTGATGTAGGAATTCTTGGATCACCAGGTTTCAGGTCAGATCTTGG